TCAATGTGTGCAAGATTTTGTGTTTTTGGCACGAGCATGCTGTCTGGAGACTTTTGCCGTTTAGAATATATAGTTTTGTTATCTTATGATAATAATGAGAGTCATTGCTCTTTGTAATCATTACCTTTTTTTTTTTTTTGCAACTTTTGGCGCTGTGGAGAAACACAAGTGGCTGAAGTTATTGGTTTGGTTCGGCAACATTCTTCGTCAGGTCAGCCCCACGTGTTGGTTTGTGCACCATCACCTGAGGGGAATACATTGATTGGGCCTTATGATAAAAAAGCATTGTCAATGTGTGCAAGATTTTGTGTTTTTGGCACGAGCATGCAGTGTAAACGATGTGTCATATTCTTAACATATCAAATTCCGTTCAATGAACTTATATGTTAAATCTTCTTATGAGCAGTGTGACTTTGAGATGACAAACGATGGAAAGTTTGTTGCTTATTTTTTCGTTTTTGAGGACAAAAAGTTGTAGTTGCATTCCGAATCAGTCCCAGTCTTGTTTTTTTCTGCGTGTCTCCATTACATTATTCAACAGGTTCATCTCGTTTGGGCCTATTCATAAAACAGCAGGGTCTGGTACAGCAATGGATCAGGCCATCGACCTTGTTATGGCACCCAATGGATATCACATCATTTCATATTGCTGCCCGCTGTGTCTGCATTGATAAAACATCTTTTTTCATTAAGAAACGGTGGGCAGGTGATCCTCCCTCTAAGGGCAATGCACTTCGTGGAAAGCCCTTTCTACAGAAAAGCCAAACAATCTGCTTTTGTGATGCCGCTGCTGCCTTATAAGTAATGCATGTAGATGTTCAAAACAGCCATGTTTTTTTATTGAGGGGCCGCCTGAATCTTGTGTTGCTTTTCATACTGATCATTACAATATAGTGACAAGAAAGTATGTTGTAATTCTGACACGTCCTATAATAATATAAATAAATTAGCTCGTGCCCTGCCTTCTATGGAAATGTGTCATCAAATAATGCCCATGGTCTGTAAGACAAATAATGCCCCCTTTGCAGTCTTTTGTGGAGTGGGCCTTACCCCTGGTAAACGGTGAAAGCAATGGGATTTGTAGCAATTGGATAATAACCTTTTAACCACTGAGGAAATCAGAGTTTAAAGGAGGCCCTCCCCTGTTGGGGTGTAAAGTATTAAGGGCCCCGGGTCTATACCTACAGCCTCTCCATTTCCTCTCACTTGAAGATACGTGCCTGGGGTACAAAGCAGGATCTGTTAGAATGAACGTGGATCCAATGAGACCGCTCTCTCTTCCCGCCCCGTAGGTTGGCCGTGCGTAAAAGTGCGCACAGGGCGTCTCCTTTTAATAAGAGGGCCGCCATTTCAGTCCCTGTCTGGCGACATGTGGGGAAGACGCTGACGTTAAATTATTATTTTTACTAATGATTAAAATTAGATCTAGTCGGTAAATTTACTTTTCTAGTCTAGAAATATTTGATTCTTGACCCTCGTAGGATTTCAATATAAGCCTTCCTAATATATACTAATGTCCTTTCTTCATTACAAAATAAAACCCACACAGGCAAATTGGATACCCTGACGCTAAAGTACGGTCAGAGTCTCACTGAGACACCATTTAAGTTCCAGCCTTGGTGCACATATAACCGAAACTTTGCGTGTGTGCATCCTTGCAGCTTTAGGACCAAACAGCGAATCCGTGGCACCAGACCTCTTGACATGCTTCATACGTTTCCAATTATAAAGTCGCAAAACGTATATTAATCAGACATCACAAGCAGTATGTGTGAGGTACAAGCTTTGTGATGTTAAGGAAACCAATAAATGCATGTAATATATATAGCTTGAGGACTGAGGGGAGTATGAGGGGAGAAAGATGGAGAGATTACCTCACATAGCATACTTTCGTTTTGACCTCAAGTGCCCCATCATAGGAAAAAGGTCTGATATTATGGACAGCAGGGCCTTGTTCTCCACGTGACAGATGACAGCCTAGTATTTACTTGCTTATCATCGAGCGAAATGATTACAACAAGTCCGTTTGATCAGGCCTGAGAGAAGCAGCGAGGTTCACCTGGTCCGAACCCAGCCAGGTTCCACATCCGGAAGTCCAGGACGGTTACTGTTCATGCAGTCCATGTAGGTCTACTTTATTTATTAGTGATGACTTTTTATATTTTATTAGCAAATGAAAACTTAAGAAGAGATACGGGAGCTTTCTCATTATGTTTACAGTCAGCGGGCGTGTAATAAACGAGTGGAGTTAACATGCGCTGTTAATTTGTCATTGCTTTTTCGTTTCGAGGCTCGGGCGCAAAAAGCAAAACAGCCGAAGCTTTCATGGTGGATGGAGGGAAGGGGAGGAAAGGAAAGAGAGAGGGAACACTTAAACAACAACATTGCCTCCAATTTGCCTTCAAATGATTATCACAACTCAACCACATTCTTACTGATGTTTTAAAAAGTATACACCCCCCCTCTCCTTCCCTCCCATTTCCAACAGTGGAGAGGTAATGAAATATGGTAATGGATGGACCCCCGGATTAAAGTCGTTTTACCCTGATGGAAGTTTTCTCCAAATGTTCAACCCTAAAGCAACAACAATTTGTATACATGATTGATTGTGTTTGGGTTTTTTAATTGCTTATGTATTTAATTTGCAAATCGGAGAGACAAGGGCGCGGCTGCAGTTTACTTCTGTGGGGAGAAAAGCGCTCGTTCGCTATCTCAATAAATAAAAACAGACTTGCTGCAGAGGGAGAATGAAAAAATAAAAGAATACGAAAAATATTAAATATGAAATAGGTTGAAGAACTCTAGACCCAAATAATCTGTCAATAGAAAACATGTAGCCTATATTTATATTTATTGATGTACAGTATATCTGGAAAAGGAAAATACACTTAAGAAATATAAATGGTAAAGAAAATAGCCAACAGATTTCCCAGTTTGCCGATTATATTTTTGCAGCAGTATCTTGTCACGATCTGACTGCTTATTTCGTTATTTATGGCCTAAATGGACCATCTTTGGTGCATGTTCCAAAATATCTAATTTTGTAAAGGTTACTGTATTCTGGTCTATTTGTCTTTTGTAATTGTTTTTATTATCAAAAATCAAACAGCATGGGCCAGAAGAAGGCTAGAACACAGACTAGTTTGACTGCAGTCAAACTAGTCATTTGCTGTCTCAGATTTGTGGGGCCCTCTAAATCATGAATATCAATAAAGAGATGTGAAATATGAATGAGGATTAGTGTGTACTTCACTGTCAGTGGATTATAAAGCAGGGACGTGGAATCGATGAAGATTTATGAAAACATACTAAGGGTTGTACATCTTGGTAATGGACAAATAATGTCATATTTTGTCTAACAGATCACAGTCAAACAGTGATCCCTTATATGAAGGCCTGGATGTTTAACATTGTCTGTCAGTTTAGAGCCCCAATCGACTGTTTAAGTACACATGGGTTGATTGTAAAGTTCTTGTCTTGCTTTTGCGCGTGTGTATATCTCTGTGCACGCATGAGCACATTTCCCAAGGTTGAACGCCCCCTCGTGGTTCATCTTGTACACAGCCTAACAGAAGCCGAAAGAAAGCAGAACCAAAAGAAAATGCATTTAAACAGAAAACAATACCTGACAAACATTTGTTTGTTTAATGAGGAAAACCTGACTGTTCGAGCACACTGCAGAGTAGTCCATGGGGTAGAAATCCACGTAATGAAAAGACGCTACCAATAATTAAAATCAGGAAATCTACGAATAAACAAGATCAGAAATGAAATAGACTCAATTATATCATACACTGACCTTTTCAGTATCAGATGAATTGCCTTGAGGTACATCAAACATGTACGTCCTATGAGGATATCTGCAAACTATAAGAACAAGATATTGTTATTGTTGTTTTTCATTAGTGAGTAACTTGAATGATCCGCTTCCTGTGGTATTACAGGTGTCTTTGATTTGAATATATAGGCTAATTGTGTATCTCATAGATACATGTTTTCTAAATGAATGTTTATGCGTACAGTATTAACACTGAGGAACTGAAATGATTAAATGTCTACAGGAAACAGGAAAAAGGGAAATAACACTTTTTAATTTGGCTCATGCTTTAGGCTATTTGTGTGTTTAATATTACAGGGGCGATGCTTATATGCCCTCTCAAATCAGGTGGGACGAACATGTAATGAATCCTTCTCTCTCTCAGTTTGGAGTGTAAATGCGGAGCTCGCCAATTGCATTTCATTAAAAACTAGCCTACATCCTTTTGGATCCGCAATCAATTAGGTAATGAGTGGGAATGCATGTTTCATATGTTGTCTCCAAAACTCCCCAAGTTAAAGATTTATAACATTGTGTAAAAAAATGGAACATTATGCAGAAGCCTTTGTTTTCACAACTCTCGCTCCTAGGTTGAAGGACAATAAAAGCTGGTTTTCGAGGTGAATTTCAACTTAAATGTGTTTTCCGGAAATGCTGATGGCCTTTAAAACCTGCCTTTCTGCTCTCATGTATTCTTTCCCCTTGTTCCTCCTTTATACCTATAGTAGGCTTAGGCTACATAAAGATGAACAGTTGCAGTTTGAGTTCCTGGGCATTCCCTCATTTATAAAGCCTTGCTGCAACTAAGCCTCATTTTTTAGTAATACTCAATTAATTAGCCATTTAATATTGACATGAATAAATTGAGCGCAAATGGGTATAAAGGCATTACGTTTTTTACTTCGTTAATTGAAAATTAAACATATGATCATTGACTCCCCGAGCCCTGCGTCGCTTCCCAGAGCCTCCCCATTGGTAGACGGACAATACATGTGGGGCGTAATTGGCCCATGGGATGCGCAACAGCCAATCAGCACGCTCCCTTCCCGATTGTACCAGGGGTTGGCTGTGACGTGGAGGCAAAGCTGCCGTCCTGATTCGCTGGATTCGTTGTGAGTGACAGGCAGCTGGCCGGCGCGTGTAGGTTAGGGTTCCAGGGGTTTGGAAGCGCGGGCGCTGTCCGCACGAGAGCAGGTCCTGAAACGCCGCGTGCGCCACCGTGGACGCTGGGCGCTGGCAGCTTAAAGAATTCTTTCAATCCAGGCTACAGATTTAAAGCACAATCCTTGGCGTGTTCGGCTGGTGAGCACAGAAAAAAACTACCTTGTGAATTTGGACAGGACTGTTTTCTTTTCCAACGCGAAAAAGTGTATCTACAAACTCAAACCGGGAGTCCGACAGCTTGAGCAGCGAGTCCTTCACAACACACAGGAGGGACAGATAGTGACCAAGAACTGCCTTACTAACAGGATAACGACTCTCATCGCAGCCTCAGAAGCTTTACGCAAACCAGAGAGTTTGGTATTTGATTTTCCTGCTGCGTACTTTTCTGAATTGTCTTTCTTTTTCTTTTTGGCACGGTGGATATGAGAATTCAAGATGTGAGCACGTATCCGCTCTCACTCGCTTTATTGATGGGAGATTCCTCAGTGTGAATGTGAAAACTACTGCCGAGGACGATTTCTGACAAGAGAATTTTCAGCAAATATCCTGGAAGAACAATAACCGTGGATCTGTAAAGATTTGTTTTTGTTTCTTCGATCTGGGTATTGACATCTTCGTTGCATTCAAAACAAATATATTTTAACAGACTGAAAGGAAAAAGTTCAGACCCCCCCACCGGCTAAGTCGCATTTCAGGGGTCACGGTCAGCGGACCGAGAAGGAGAGAAAGGAAGGAGGCTACTTTGTTTGCTCTCCATATTTTTGTTTAGCAAAACTTTGAATCGTTTTTTTTTTTAACTGAGGCGACTCGGTGTAGACTAGCAGCTTGAGGGGATGAGCACTATTGCTGTCGTTCCCCTCCTCTGGTTTGGGAGACGCCAGGACCGACCCGGTGTCCCGTCCCCATGAGGGGGGAGCCTGTCTGTGATTCATATTTTTGACGCCTTTTCATTCTTCCCTTCTACTTAAAAGTCTCACATTTTCTATTTTTTTGCAATATCTTTTTTATTAATTTGATTCAAAGTACAACTTGTATCACATTGTCAAACATTTATTTGTATTAATTAAGAGGGAAATACCCTCCCTTTGAAGGGGAGGATATTTGGACGTACGTCCATTTATTGGAGGTCACGGCGTGAAGTGGCTGACTGAAGCTGTGTCCGGTGGCATTTTTAGACCCCTCACACCCTACCGGGGCCCTGCAGCCCTACAGCTTAACGATGGAGATTCATTGTAAGCACGACCCGTTTGCGGCAATGCACAGTAAGTTTATACTTTCATATATTCCCCCATCTGCACGATCCCATCTGCCATAAACTGAATCTAACCCCCCACAATTCTCTGTGCATATGCAATAATAACAGCGGAGTAGCGTTTCCGGCACCATACACAAAAAACCCTGCTTGCCTTGAGTCCTAAATCCTAATCTTTCACTGGAAGGACATCTAAAAGTCTCAAATAAATGCTTAAATAATACAAGCACTTGTATTTCGCAAAGGAAGTATTTTTTTGAAAAAAGTTCGATATATAATTCATTACATTTGCAATCATCTATATTATTATTTTTAATCAAAAGGAATCCGTTGTGAAATTTAGAAAATTCATCGAGCAAGTGAAAATGTATTTCATGTATTATAACGAGTTGTAACTAAATAGGCCATTGAGTTGGTTGTTACATTTAATGTTTTGTAAGAAGATTGATCTTTTTTGCAGTGTTTACAGTCTGGATATATGCAAAAGTTAGAGCCTAAATTATTATATTTTAAAGACAATTTCTGGTTTGTGAATTTGCTTTTTATCATTAGCCTACTCTTGATTGTAAGTCCTGTCTCTTACAATATGTTTTAATAGTTGTAGATTAATTGAGCAAAGGACGTGGAATTTAAATGTTTTTGAAAAGTGAAATGGATTTTATTCCAGAGTATGATGTTTGCTGTATTTGTTGGTGCCTTGTGTGTGAAAAGGTTTGCTATGTTTCCTTCGACGAAGAGGAGCATGCAAGGGTCAACGGGAGAGAGAAAGAGAGAGAGGGGGGGAGAAGAGAGGGAGACATATATGGTTAACAAAGCATGACTAAAAGCTGAACTTGATCAACAAACAGTAACAGTGTTTCCAGCACATAACCAGGTTAGACCGACACTCGCTGCACATACGCGCACAGATGCAGGCGAGAGCTGCTCGTTTCTTATTATAATAACAACAAGGTGAGACTCTGTTGATCCCCCGCAGGGAAATTCTCCTCTCACTGCCCAGCAGGTCAGAGCTGCACAGGTTCAGCCTCACAGCATGCGGCAGTGTGTTGCTCAAGGACACTTCAGCAGAGCAGGTGCTTGGGGAAACGCAGTGTATGGCTAGAAGAATAAAGGGGGGGGGGACGACAACTTGTTCATTCAGTCGTGACATGGCGGGCCCTGCTTTGTTTTCTAGTCCATTTTACCTCCCCAAATTCTAGCTAAAGGGTCACGAATTTATTTTATACAAGCCTGCACAACTGTTAATATCGATAGTAAATCCTTTAAAAAACAATAGTTCATACCGATTATAGAATCTGAAAGTAGCCTATCAAATGTAAAGTAAAATCAACTCCGAACATTATCTTTATTGGAGGCCCAGATCCCGAGACATGAATACATTAAGAACTTTACAAGCTTAAATAATAGCATATTAAAGATGTTGAAACCGTGATTTTAATAATCCCCATATTGTCAACTCCAATGTGTGTTAGGGCTGCACGTCTTTTTTGCTTTTGCACTTAAAAACTGAATAAAGCGACTATAAAGCTTTCCAGCGTGTAATTGATTATGCATTATACCTATCTTAATGCAGTTTAGTCCCGGAGAGAAGTCGCGTGTTATGTGACTGACAGCGGTTCCCACGGTGCGTTATCCTGCAGGATTACAAAAAAAGAAGCTGCACACACACATCCAAAAACAACTAGAACGAATCATGTTTCCTCTTCCATGCCGTTTCCCCAGAGCCAATGAACCGCGATGCTTACGGTAGCAGCGGAGCTAAAGTTATATATGTCAAGCCCGGAAACGCTTTAAAACGATTACACGTAAAAAAATGTCAAAGGTAGAGAGAGAGGGGTTGGGTAAAATCGACTGTGAAACGTGGAAATGTGGTTGGCGAGTGTGGATGTGTGCGTGTGTGTGTGCGTGTGTGTGTGCGCGCGCGTGTATGTGTGTGTGTGTGTACGTGTGTGTTACATTTTCAACGTCAGTCTTTGCTACAGTCTTTGTAGCACGTGTGTTGAGGAATTATGGCCTAGGCTACTGAAGTTTTTCTTAATCTAACAAAAGTTATTAAGTGATATACAATACAAAACTTCGCACTTTGTGCGTGTGTGATTTTTGAGTAGACTATTCGTTATCTTTGTTTTTGAGTGTAAAGATGTTAAAAAAGGAAAGAAAAGAAAAACCTAATATCTATGGTTGATTTCATTAGTTATAATTGGTTATATATTTGCAAACTTTGTAGCGTGTTTTGAACCCGAAGCAACAATAAATAGCAGTGATAATTTAAAAATCTATAGCAGGTAATTGTGATGATAATGAGCTGAATTTCATAACCACGCATTGTAATGGTAATGCTGGCATGCTGAATACTAAGCAGGCGAGGCTGTGGCCTACCTTGATGATCTACTCGTGAGTTTAAAAAAAACATATATAGGCTACGTAAATCACTGGAATGAAACATATACATGTAAATATATGCATATAAATAAAACTGAAGTAAATAAAGGTTTAGCTATGTGCTTGATTTGTTTGCCTTAAGTATTTAAAAAATAGCTGTAGTCTTCTTTTGTTACAACATAAGTACGCCTATTTACAAATCTGACCATTTATAAACGAGATTCCCTGAATCCCACTTCGCTGACAGAATATTAATTGTTCCAGCTTCAGGGTGAAATATAACACTATACGTCCAAAACGCCTGCCTGGCACATCTCGCAGATCTATATTCACTGTTTGCTCAAGGAAATGTGCTTCATCTGTATTCTTGCGGGCAACTTTCCAAACAGGTTTTCAGCAAAAAGTAATTTCTAGTCCCCCTTTTCTTTCCTTTTATCCAAGAGACAGAGGTAGAGAGAACCATTGGCGATTTGTTGCGATTTCTCTCTTTTCACTTTATTTTTGAGTCGTCAGGCCGTGACGAGGCAGATGAGAGATGAGGGAGAGAGAGAGAGAGAGAGAGAGAGAGAGAGAGAGAGAGAGATAGAGAGAGAGAGAGAGAGAGAGAGAGAGAGAGAGAGAGAGAGAGAGAGAGAGAGAGAGAGAGACAGAGAGAGACAGAGAGAGAGACAGAGAGCCTAATGGACTTTATTTTCTGGATGGGGGAGCTCCAATATATTCTGCTTTATCTCTGTATTCTTTCCTCTCGGAAACAGTGAATCAATCAGACATTTAAGGAAGTGCTGGGTTTTAAAGTCAGCTCCAAGAGTAAATAAATAAATCACAACAGGGCTGCATAATGACCCCTGGTCCCCTGGCTGTCTGTCCCTCTCTGATTCCGTTTCTCCGGGATGAAAATGAAGCTGCTGTCTGTGCCAACACTTCCCCCTCTAGAGACTGTATAGGTTCAGCTTTTAAAGAAAGACCTTTAAAAGCCAAAAGCTGCTAATTTGGCAGAATCTTTGTATCTCATTTGCAACAAAACCTCAGGAGCAGACCAATGTTGATTGAATTTCTGGGAGCAAGTGGTTCATTTGGTTGGTCAGTGTGATGAATTACTGGACCACTGTCCCTAAACTCACACAGCTGTGAGGCGACATCTGTCCTGATTCCTTGTGACCTATTAATACATATAATTTTAAGCATTTGTCCATAAAAAAGGGGATAGATTCCTCTCCAAATACAAAGCAATTTCTGTCTATTTTCCTTTTATAATGATACAAAACTGCAAGATCAAAGTGAATCTGCCTCTATCAGGTCATTTCCCAAGGCTAATACTATGCTTACATGGCGGAGTCTTTAAAATGCTACACATTTAGAGAATTATGCGACAGTGTCCGATAAACAAATGCCTTTATAGGACGTGAAATGTATTGCGTTTGGTCCTATCAGTATTTATAGGCTCGCAAAATACATTTCTAACACATAATCCCCACAAACTACCTCAAGAATAGTGAGAGTCTGAACGTCTAATGCCAACAGTAAATACACAGATAAGTGAATAAATAGTTATCTGGAGGTTTTGTAGGTCACAAGTCATTCCTCTTTACAAAGCAAGGCGTATTTCATGCCCTGGCCCAGATAGGAAGGGTGAAAGGAACCATTTCATTTACTCTTATCTGAGAAAGAGGGAGAGAGAGAGAGAGGGGGAGAGTCTTCTCTGCAGATACCTGTAGGGAGGAGGACGAAGCACATTCGGCTTCTATAAACGTCCTCACAAAAACGATGCTTTTATTCATCGAAGGGTTTCAGGACATAATAATAAAGAGAGGAGGGAATAATGCCTTCACACAGCTATACAAAACACAGAGAGTGAGAGAGTGTGTGTGAAGGACTTCAATGTGTCCATGTAGGTCAGTAGGCTTGGTCTAGCTTTAAGGAAAGGGAAAGTGTGTGTGAGTTTTCGCTCTGTACCCTATCCTAGTGGGACATCACATTCATAAAAATCAAAAGGGACACAAAAACATGTTCAACAATGGTGGGGTTAAGGTGGGCTAAGCTTTAGGCGCTGACCATGAACGACAACCAGTCCAAACGGGGACTTCTTATATATCAACTTTCAATTAAATACACGTCTAAATAAATATGTTTCTAAAACAGGATAAAAGACAGTGAAATGAGGATCTAATGGTAGAGCGTGTGTTCTGCTGTACACATTGTAAAGAGCTTTGAGACAGATTTGAGGACTGGTTAACATAATAACTGTGACTTTGGGCCATGCATGTTAACACATTTGACTTGACTCTTCACCCTGACCTAACTGGCCCAGAATTAGAGTAGTACCTGCTCACATTTTAAATTAAAAACACCAGCAGGTTCACTCACTAACTGGGAACCAACACATATGTGGGACAGTACCAGAACACCATTCTTACAAATATGTTTCTAATGTAATTTCAAACATCAGTGAATCAACATCAATTACTCCGGTCAACAAAAACTATAAGGGCATAATGCCAGTGTCTCCCTTAAAGTAGTGTCTCTGATAAAGTGTTCAATCCCAAGATGGGATGATTGACAACATCATGAGATCCTTTTGTTCAGGACTTGACAAACTGAAACAACAAGCTGAGTAATATTCCTGCATGATGAATACAATGATTTTAGTGAGCCAATGTAATGCCCCTGTGTCACCACAGCCATGCCAACTCACAACTGAACAATTACACCCTATCTTTAAATGAATTAGATATTAAGTTTATTTGATAATAACTTTCATATGCTTTTACTACAACTGATGTGACTCTATTGTCTTAAGAGGTAATGCTGGTTATTGCATTTCATGCCAATTTAGCCTCGGGTTAGGCCAGCTTTCATTGCATAAATATGACTGTCTAGATATTGGTGTGTTTTGTAAAGAGCGATTGCTTTTCAAATTGTGCTGTCCACAGCAGGCATCTGCATAATGAGGCTTCTTCTCCTAAAAAAATAAAGTAGTAAGGAAGAGAGTGGCCGCCCGCCTGAGCTGTTTGGAAATAGCTTTGTTTGAATTCACAGAATGAGACTGTAGCCTTCACATTTCTGTATTTATCCTCCATGTTTGGATCTATTTATATTTGAGATAGAAGAGACTGTGTGTGTGTGTGTGTGTGTGTGTGTGTGTGTGTGTGTGTGTGTGTGTGTGTGTGTGTGTGTGTGTGTGTGTGTGTGTGTGTGTGTGTGTGTGTGTTTGTTTGTTTGTTCGTTTCTTTATTGTATACTGTTGGAGGGGAGAAGAGGACAGGGGGACAGGTTCAGGGGACAGCTTTGTGGTTCAGGGGGTATTCCTGCTGGGGTAATGTGTTTAAAATCTATTACCCCCACAGCTAGGATTAGTGTGTGAGTGTGTGTGTGTGTGTGTGTGTGTGTGTGTGTGTTTCCCCTAAAGACGTAATCACTATGGTAATACAAAAGGCAGTGGATTATGGGGTAGAAAAAAATCTGGTTGATTTCTACTCTGCCTCCGGTAAGATATGTACATATACAGTATTGAGAAGCAGGAGAGAGAGTCTTGACTGTATTTTTATTTATATATGTGTTTAAAAATACAAACGTCTGTAGCTCATACATTGGTTAGCACAGAGCTAGACAGGCTGCAGTTTGTGACCTGGCTGGCCCGAGCCTTTCAGTGGAGAGTTTGAGGTGTTGGTGTGTTTGTGCTTGCCTCAGACTGCCGACCCGTCTACACTGCTTCTTCTCCGGTGCATGCTGGGATAGGCTCCAGGAAAGAGAAAATGATTTGGTTAATGGATTACTCGATTGACAGCAAATTCATTGTTAATAAGTTTGATACTTAATGAATTCCTTTAGTCAAATGTAATGATTTTTTTTTCTGGTTTCTGCTTGCATCTTTGGGACTTTTTCAGTTACGTTCAGACTTATAAACTAGATGGATTCCAACTCCCTGGTTATAGTTTTTTCCAATTACCTGCTCTTTTGCCGCGGCAGCCATTTACATTTGTCAATTAAAACTGAATTTTGTCTGATGAATTAAAAGGAAACTCTTACCTTCTAAATGTAATAGTAACAGTAGCACAAACAGAATCATGTAAAGGGTTACGTTTCTAGAGTATTATAGTGTAAACCAGTCCTATTCTCTTTCATTCGTTTTCCTCATATACTTTAATCTCTCAGGGGAATATAAGTGGTATCCTTCAATGAGGGGCCTGCGCCCGGCCTTGGTCAATAATTAATTGAGATCCCCTCATTTACTTAAGATCTTAGCTCACTCTTTACCCCGGGCGAAAATGGCCGAAGTTTGCATTTTGTAATTGTCACACCAGATCCAATTTGCTGAGCAAGAACAATCAGGCGCAGAAGAAAACTTTAAGTATTTGAGATAATAAATTCACTCCAGTACTTGTTGGATCCTAGTCCAGAAAGTGTAGGATTGCTGAAGTTAATATATCACAAACAAACATCTTATACAATAATGGTAACATCAAAATTGAGGACATAACAATTGAGTAAATTAGGATGTTTTAATAAGTGTCTTTTGTGAATCACTATTTTTTATCCATTGCATATAGCTAAAACATCAGTTGGTTAGATCTCTAAACTCCTTGTCTCCTCATTGCCTCATCAACCTTCATTTGGTCACTGACATTTAAATAACTTTATCTTTGTCTCAATTCAGTGCCTGGACCCTCATTAAATGTATAGGCAGCCATAATATTTCCTCATCATAGACCTTTTTTGTATTAATTTTAAACTGTATTTTTTGTCTTTCTCATGTCTAGGACATGGCGGGGTGAACCAGCTTGGAGGCGTGTTTGTGAACGGCAGGCCCCTCCCAGATGTAGTTCGACAGCGAATCGTGGAACTTGCCCACCAAGGGGTGCGGCCCTGTGACATCTCACGCCAGCTACGAGTGAGCCACGGATGTGTCAGCAAGATACTGGGCAGGTAAAGGACACACAATCACCGACAGCCGTATGATGGCTAAGCATTCACACCCTTTTCACACACTCAACAGTGTGAAAGAGTGGTTGTGTGACCTGGCATGGCCTTGGCGGTTGACTAAGGGGATCCTGGTTTGACGCCATCTTGTAACCAAAATGAAAATATTTAATTTTCTATGTCTGAAACATTACAGCTAAAAGTATCTGGTTCAATTTGAGGTCATCCTGCTGAGTTTTATGAATCAATACACAGGCTTTACGTTCGGCTTTGGCTTAGCATGTGTCAAACTGAAGCTCCTGTAAGGTCACACCGACTCATTTAGTGTCCATTCTGCCATTTCTTGCACAAGCTGCATTTAAAGTGCCGTTGTTTTAAAGCTTGCGTCTTTTTTGCCTTTTTAACCTTCCTCTCCCCTCTCGGTATCCTATATTTCTAATTTCATTTCATTTCATTTCAAACCTTTATTTATCCAGGTGTATCCCATTGAGATCATTGATCTCTTTTTCAAGGGAGACCTGCTCAAGTAGGTTCCACATGAAACATAAAAACATAAACAGAACAACAAAAAGGACATCATACAGCATCATTACAGGGTTTACAATTTACATAACTATCCACATGTGCAGGTATCAACAGCTTCCGATTGAGTAGCATCCAACCGAGCTTTAAAAACATTTAGTGGCACCAGATTGCTCAGTTCCCATTTCAATTGCAGACTATTCCAAGACAGAGGAGCTGCGCATCTAAAAGCTGTCTTCCCTAAGACAGTCCTAGCAGTTGGCACATTTAATAAAACCACAGCATGCGATCTCAGGCAGTAGCCACTTACAATTCGCCGTGAGATCAGGGAGCAGATGTAGGATGGAAGTTTCCCTAACATGGCTTTGTATATAAAAATGTACCAGTGACTGAGCCTCCGTACAGTTAGTGAAAGTAAACCAGCCCTTGCATACAGGGTACAGTGATGGGTTAATGCTTTACAGTTTGTCACAAATCTCAGTGCACTGTGATATGAAGCATCTAACTTGACCAGGCAATTGGCAGGTGCATTCATATACATGAGATCACCATAGTCCAGCACAGGTAAAAAGGTCACAGTGACTAGCCTTTTCCTGGCCTCAAGCGAGAAACAGGACTTGTTCCTGTAGAAGAAACCTAGCCTAACCCTCAGCTTTTTAAGCAGGTTATTGACATGACGTTTAAAAGTGAGACAATCATCAAGCCAGATACCCAGGTATTTGTAACAGGTAACCACTTCAATTTTTATTCCAGGCTCTGGTGTCTTTTTAGCTTTAGAAAAGAGCATTACCTTGGTTTTATCAACATTTAAAAGAAGCTTTAGTTCAGAGAGCTGAGTCTGAATAATGTTAAAAACAGCTTGCAATTCAACAACAGCCTCCTTAATGGAGGGACCTGCACAATACATAACGGTATCATCCGCATAAAAATGTAAGGTTGCTCCATCGACATTTTCACCTAAACTATTGATGTAGATGGAGAATAAAAGTGGACCTAAAACAGAACCTTGAGGAACACCATTAGTAATGTTTAACCACTCAGAAGACAGCCCATCAAAATGAACCTTTCAGAGAGGTAGTTCAAAAACCACCCCACTGCATGGCTGGATATGCCAATACTGAGTAGCCTCTAATACGACCCCTCTCAATATTTCTGTGTCTCTGCTCACTCTTCTCTCCATCTCTACCTTTTCAAGGCTACATTCAAGAGTAAATCCCTGCTCGTTCTGTCCCCGGAGAAGAAAGGGGGACAAAAGGGAAAAGATTCATCACTTTTTGGAATTAGCATCAAAATGAAAGTGGCACCATATTTCTGCACCCCAAAAAAGGGGAACAAAAGACAGAGGGAAATGGAGAAAAGGGAGAATGACAAGAACAAGGAACATAATCAAAACGGGGAAAAGCGTGTTAAAGAAGAAGAGTGCAGGAAAAAGCAAAAAGACAGAGAGACCATTTGAGGGGACGGAGGGGAAGGATTAGCTACAGCGACCCTCAGCTATATCAAAAAAATGTGTTGCTCATTGTTCTCCCATGCCTTTCTTTCTCTCTCTGTCTTCCTCTCTCTCTCCCTCTCTCTCCCCTTTCCTGGCCGTTCAACTCACTGAAGCGTTACCGTGAGGGGGGAGGAGAGGGGATCGAGGGATGGAAGGAGGGAGGGAGGGTTGTTTTATCCTCTCCTCTCTGTCTCTCTGGTGCCAACAGAACAAAAACACCAACTCCACCACTCTGTGTGTCTGTCTGTGTGTGTGTGTGTGTGTGTGTGTGTGTGTGTGTGTGTGTGTGTGTGTGTGTGTGTGTATATTAGCTCAAATGTTTGTGCGGGTATCAATAACCATGCTCGTTTATTCACCAATGATTCAGCTGTGAATAATTTAAATAGTTTTCCATTTGGAAATAGATTGTTTTTTGCTTTAGCTGTGTTTATACTCCAGCTGTGAATAGTCAAATTGTGCAACACACACACATATGCGCAACTCACACACACAAAAAGAGAGACAAGGAAACTCACATTTAAAGGAACACACATCTTCACGGAAGGGATAACTCTACGGTACAGCGGTGGAAAGAGAGAGATAGGGAGAGAGAGAAAAAGGGGGAGAGCAGGTTTAAGACTGACTGACAGCTTGCATCCACACACAGCATCCCCCCTTTTTCTGCGAGCTGCAGCGCATTTGCTGCCCCCCCCCTGCCCCCATGCCCCTTCTGCATGCAAATACATTCATGAAATAGCCATGGTGGACACGAAACGCCTGAATCAGTGCATGTGTGTTTGTATTTGTGTGTGTATGTGTGTGTGTTTGGTATCAGTGCCACCCTCTTCCTACCTCTGTGTCACAATGTGAAATTGCCAAAGACACAACAAACAACAGTCAGCCATCATCAATATTTTTGGAATCCCATCGATCACTGTTATCAACAGTTTGTTCTGATGACGTCGGGCATCATTACAAACAACTTTTTATTTTTACTAAAATTGAATCACTGACAACGATAACACGGTTGCATGCAGTGAGTCCAGAGAAACCCTCGTCATCCATTGTATGGTTTACATTTTTGGTAATATGATTAACTATTGACATTAACATTATGATTACCATACTTGTCTTCTCTTTATCTGTACCCTGTGTACCAGATGTAAATAGTTTTTACTCTTTCGCCCTGGTGAGAACTGTATGGGTTTACCAATGAGCCTGACTCATTTAGGCATTGAATTTAACTTATTCTGCCTAAGAGTGCCTGGAGAAAGTATTTTCTAATGCTAGTACCAAAGCAGCAGCACAAACAGTTGCCTACAAATGCAATCTTAGAGAGGAACTGATATGAAAAAGACAACCAAACTAAAGAGTTCAAATAGAGCTAACAGCGGAGACAAATACCAATGGAGTCCAATACCATTGGGTTTACAATAATCCTTAATGTGGCCAGCTATCAGTAAAAGTATCAAGGACAGGCTATAAATATACAATATAGCAATCAAGTTTTCAGAGTTAATAGATATCGCAATTGTAATAAAAAAAAAAAGTTCTGTCTTTTCTTCATGATATTTCGTCTTAATATTACAAATTATTGAAGGTTTTCGTTTCTTTTAAGAATATGTCATTACATTAACACATTATTGGCCACTTTAGTTCATTCTCCTGTCCACACTGAAACCTTGTGAATATAAGAGGTGGGTGACACAATTCACATTCCTTGTTCTCAGCAAAAAAACACTGTGACGTTTAATTATAGATAATAGAAATTCACAGCAGTTTCAGAGTTAAACTAATCTAGTGAATATCTTTCAAAGTGTTCGTCTTTTTAAAGAAATGTCTCTTTATGTTTCGGAAGAAATATGACTGCAGTTGAAGGATAAACTGTAAACAACAGGGGAATTTCTCACTGCAAATACTCTGACTTTGGAAGATAATCACTTGATATTTTAAATCAGAGTCATATTAGTCTCAGTTGAATTAACAAAAAAGGCATATTTGCTCAGGACAAGCTCTGTGTATTTTGCATACCATCAATCAGCTCACTTCTCTTTGTCAGTAAGGACAGTGAGAATGTAGACCAACCTATTCATCAAGAAATAAAACACCACGAGACTAAAGGTTCATCTTTTTCAAGATCAGGTGCAAATAGAGGAGGAGAGTGAGGGGGACAGGCCAGAGATAAGTGAAGTATTTTAAAATAATTTTGAATTCAAGCCAGAAGGAAGCCCTGACAGCAGTGGGAAGGTCGTTATTTACTGAGAAGGCATATAGGGAAGAGTTGAGACTGGGTGCAACAATGTCCACACCACGAGGAGTAAAGTGACAAGATTGTACAAAATCTAAATCTGAGGAAGAAATGCAAAAAATGTGCTCCTGTTAGACTGATTTTAGCAAAAAAACGCTGTTGTTAAAGCCCCTGTCACACTGTCCCGAAATTGACACCCGATGGACACACGAATATGGAATTGTGAATTTCGCACGAAGATGGCCCCGAACCACACACGAAGGCAACATTTACATTACATTTAAGACATACAACTGCAATGAAAGTACCAAAAACAATTATGTTACAGTACTATGATACTGTACTGATATCTTCAGACTTTGTTCTTTACTTTATCCGTCTTTATATGTAGAAAATATTACGTTTTCTCCGTAGGCCTAATGTTGTTTCCATAACAACAACAACTTCCTGTCAACTGTCCTTCAAAATATAATATGATATCCTTTTTAGTTTCACAGAACACAAATTGGGTTATTTACATAATATGTTTACATGATTTTGTTGTGCAATAAAACAACACGATAAAGGAAATGTTCAAATTCGGCTGTGATCGTAGCAACATCGGGCCATTCGTGAGGGCATCTTAAGCCATCGTATGACCGCCGGTGGAGTTTCTCAGGCTCCGGCAGCAACTTTGTGAGCAGTGGCAAAATCTTTGGCATGCCAAAAAATTGCCGAAGGACCTTGCGAAGGTTCATTTTCGTGTTGAATTCGTGTGTCAATTGTGCCCTTCGTAAGGCCATCGTGAGGGCATCTTGTTATCATCGGGGCCATCGGGCATTCGCCCCGATCAGAGTGAAGGCGAATGCCCGATGGCACCGATGATAATACGAAGATGACACGATTTGACAAGATGTCCTCACGAGTGCCTTACGAAGTTGCCGCTCACGAAGTTGCTGCCGGAGCCTGAGAAACTCCACCGGCGGTCATACGATGGCTTAGATGCCCTCACGAATGGCCCGATGTTGCTACGATCACAGCCGAATTTGAACATTTCCTTTATCGTGTGTCCATCGGGTGTCAATTTCGGGAGAGTGTGACAGGGGCTTAAAGGCCCTGTCACACTGTCCCGAAATTGACACCCGATGGACACACGAATATGGAATTGTGAATTTCGCACGAAGATGGCCCCGAACCACACACAAAGGCAACATTTACATTACATTTAAGACATACAACGGCAATGAAAGTACCAAAAACAATTATGTTACAGTACTATGATACTGTACTGATATTTTCAGACTTTGTTCTTTACTTTATCCGTCGTTATATGTAGAAAATATTACGTTTTCTCCGTAATGTTGTTTCCATAACAACAACAACTTCCTGTCAACTGTCCTTCAAAATAATATATTATATCCTTTTTAGTTTCACAGAACACAAATTGGGTTATTTACATAATATATTTACATGATTTTGTTGTGCAATAAAACAACCCGATGGACACACGATAAAGGAAATGTTCAAATTCGGCTGTGATCGTAACAACATCGGGCCATTCGTGAGGGCATCTTAAGCCATCGAATGACCGCCGGTGGAGTTTCTCAGGCTCCGGCAGCAACTTCGTGAGCAGTGGCAAAATCTTTGGCATGCCAAAAAATTGCTGAAGGACCTTGCGAAGGTTCATTTTCGTGTTGAACTCGTGTGTAAATGTTGCCCTTCGTAAGGCCATCGTGAGGGCATCTTGTTATCATCGGTGCCATCGATCAGAGTGAGGGTGAATGCACCGATGATAACACGAAGATGACACGATTTGACAAGATCCCCTCACGAGTGCCTCACGAAGTTGCCGCTCACGAAGTTGCTGCCGGAGCCTGAGAAACTCCACCGGCGGTCATACGATGGCTTAAGATGCCCTCACGAATGGCCAGATGTTGCTACGATCACAGCCGAATTTGAACATTTCCTTTATCGTGTGTCCATCGGGTGTCAATTTCGGGACAGTGTGACAGGGCCTTAACCAACTGTATGCTGTCCAAGCAATATCTTCTTAGGAGTATTATCAAGTTATACTAATACAACTTGTATAATTGTAAGAGCAAGTTGTGTTCAAAAGATCCAGAATAATGTTCTTAGTAAAAAGTATACATGGTTAAAACATAGAGAGAACATATTTATACATTGTTTTCATCAAATGTGCAGTCTCATTTGTGATAAAGAGTAAGAGAAGACATTCTGTTGCACCATGGGATATTGGTTAAAATTGTGATATTGCCTTTTTTATAATAAAATCAACACTGTGGCACTAGCAGTAAAAGATTCAGAATGTACAAATGTTAACCTTCTAACAGCTTATTTCCTACACTTCTAAAGAAACAACAACCTTCTTGTATTGCCCATCATGACCAACGCGAGCATTTTCTGCGCTTTGATTGGCAGGTACTATGAAACGGGCAGCATCCGCCCCGGGGTAATTGGGGGATCCAAACCAAAGGTTGCTACTCCCAAAGTGGTCGACAAGATCGCCGATTACAAACGCCAAAACCCCACCATGTTTGCCTGGGAGATCCGGGACAGGCTGCTGGCCGAGAGAGTGTGTGACAACGACAGCGTCCCCAGTGTCAGCTCCATCAACAGGTACTACTGTCTGAGTAAATGTGTGTGTGTTTTTGAGCATCAACTCATAGCAACAGGTACTGAAAGAAGGTAGAGCTCAGAGCAAAAATAATACAGAGTGTTTTATGTGTGTGTGTGTGTCTGTGTCTGTGTCTGTCTGTGTGTGTGTGTGTGTGTGTGTGTGTGTGTGTGTGTGTGTGTGTGTGTGTGTGTGTGGTGTGTGTGCGTGTGTGTGTGTGTGTGTGTGTGTGTGTGTGTGTGTGTGTGTGTGTGTGTGTGTGTGTGTGTCCGGGAGAGGAAAAGAGAATGGCAAAGAGGCCCCGGTCTCCATATGTATGAAGTGGCTGCAGCTCAGTGGTTCAACACGATGGTACAATGACAACCCTTTCCCCTGAGCATAGAGCCAGAGAGAGAGGCAGGGATAGTGAAATAAGAGAGAGAAGGAGTGAGCAAAAGAGGCAGACAAAAGGAAAGGAAGGTGTGCGAGAGAAAGGAGAGCAACAGATACAAAAGGGAAGGAAAGAAAGGAAAAGGAAAGGAAATGAGACAACATGAGAGGAGAGGAAAAGGGGAGGAAAGGAAAAGAAAAGGAAGGAAAGAGGAAGAAAAGACTTGCATGAGCAGCCAAGCAGGAAGTGTGAGGCCCCTCTGCCATGTCAGCCTGCCACACACACACACACACACACACACACACACACACACACACACACACACACACACACACACACACACACACACCCACACACACACACACACACACACACACACACACACACACACACACACACACACACACACACACACACACACACACACACACACACACACACACACAGTTTAGCTCCCACGATGGTCATGTTCTCTCTGTCACTCAGAATCCTCTCACACACACACACACACACACACACACACACACACACACACACACACACACACACACACACACACACACACACACACACACACACACACACACACACACACACACACACACACACACACACACACACACACACACACACACACACACACACACACACACACACACACACACACACACACACACACACACACACACACACACACACACACTAATATCTCCTCTCTCCTCCTGCAGGATCATTCGGACAAAGGTTCAGCAGCCGCCCGGCCAAACGGGCTCAATGTCGGCTCACAACTTAGGTAGGTCTGCTGCTTTAAGAAATCTTTCAAACTGCAAATTTTACAGCACGGCCGTTTTCGTATGATTCTCTCAGGAGCTGGTGTGCCGTATGTGGAACAAAGCAACGTATTGAGATTCTGAACCCTAACTCACGGTGTGAAATGTCTGCCACAAATGTCTTTGCTTGAATGTTTCGATCAAGATGTCCCAAAATGAACAGTCTGAAAGGGAAGTTAGTTAATTTACAAGTAGTTCATGTATTGCTTATTACTGTAAACATTATTTAATTGATGTGATGGTTTGGGGTAATCATTTCTTAAACTACATTTGTTATCTTGTTGTTGTTGAGTGTAAAGTGAAGAGTTGAAGAGTGGAGTAGAAAAAGTAGAATCAGTAACAGAGGATCATACAAAAGAGGCGTCCAGCTTATTGCACATAAAACAATCATCATAATCATTGATAAGTCTCCTAATGGATATCATGATTCTGAATTGCCTATAACGCAAAATGTTTAAATTACAGCAGTGCTGGATTTATAAATCTGACTTGACGTAACTACCCTGAGGTCCACTCAGAGGCTACAAAGGTCAACATTATCCACATGTTGGATTTGATAAATTGCACATTTGCTTTGGAATATGTGCCTCTGAATCACATAATCATTTTAAAATGATAAAAGCTGTATGGCAGATATTAGATTATGACTGATCTTGTTTACTGTAACTGTTTTCTGACTATTCCTAAATGAGTTTGTGTTCAATCGAATGATCACAAACATGGTTTCACAGCTAAATGCCGGTTCGTGGGATAATTCCATCATAAAGTAGATCGCGAGGACATTAAAGTGTGTTGGTAAAAAAAAAAAAGTTTCTGTCACTAAAGAGGGAATTTAATATTCTTGATCAAAAGACCCTTGAATCTCCTCCTTAAACATGGTTTGGCTGCTCATTGTAGTTTCTAACCATGTTACAGACAAGCAGTATATCTATTACAGCTATGACTGAAACATTATTTCCTTTTCCTCGATGAATATCTTAGAACAAATATATCTGAAAGCTTCTCTCCCTCTCCTCCACTCTTTGCCCTGCAGTGGATTGTGTTTCGGTGTATCTCATATCTTCATGATCACACATTGTCTATTAATCTAAATTAATTTCACACACACTGCTCCCTGACTCCTGCCTTTACACACATTTAGCAGGCGCACACACATACACACATGCAAGCACAGCTAGATGCAACCAGACACACACGCACCTGCACGTACACACGCTTACAGATTACACAGATAAATGGGTCCCACTCCCAGGCGGAAAATTGAACATTTGGATTTGCTGAATAAAAGCGCTACGTCTGATAAAAAAAAGAGTGAAAAGAAAGAGAAAGGAAAATTAGATAATTGAAGTGCTAAATCAAGTGATGGGAAAAGGAGGGATCTGCATTCATTATACTTTCCTTGTCGTTAGCGAAGGAGTAACAGCTGGAAGGGACCTTGATCCTCAGCTTTATCGTTTCTTTTTATTCCCCTTTCGGTCTCGTCTTTCTGTGTTTGGGGGTCTGCTGGGAGAGAGGATTAGGATGTCTGTCTCCACACCTTTATGTCCCTCCTGGGATACCATACTGTCACTCAACCCCATGTCCGCTTACAGGGGCACAGATAAGGGACCGAGGAATGAGTGACTGTATGTGTTGGTGTGTGCGTGTTTGTGTGTGTGTCAGGAGGTTGCACAATGTGTGTGTTTGTCACTGAAGCGGTGACAAGTATGTCGCTGTGTGCGAGGAACTTGTCTGCTCCAGGGGGACGATTAGAGGTGGAGACAACGAAGGGTAAAACGCAGACAGACTCCGGTCCTTTGTGGATTTGTTTGGGTCTGTATGGCTGAGTAAAGGTTTTAGAGGATTAAAGTGCCTCTATGTTGAGTTTAAGTAGAGAGAAATAGGATTTCACTCATAGTTTTTTGTTCTGTATCTTCGATTGTGAATGTGTCACAAATAACTGAATGAAGACATGTGAGTGTTGCTCTTTAAGTAAAAAAACAAACAATACAAAACAGCTGGGAAAGAGGTAGCAAATATATATGGTATGTAGTTGCAAAGGTATCAACAATACATATGCAGAAATATCAACAGTTTTTGCGTGGGTCAGCAATTCAATATTTAATTTCTCTGTTAACTTTTAATAGTTCTTCCCCCTCGAGTGTTAGGTGGCATCATGTTATCATAAACAGTGCCATTTGAATGATGATCTAAGATTTTGTCCTTATGATCATAAACACAACTTTTAATGCTTCAAAATAAACATTAAAAGTTATATTTTTTATTTGCCGATGAATTTACTCTAAGTTTCTGTCTGCAGCAACTTCTGTAGCGGCCACACAAGTGTCGGGAGTGACCAACGACTCAGCCGGCTCCTCGTACTCCATCAGTGGCATTCTGGGAATCAGCTCAGCTGCCGATGTGGGCAAGAGGAAGAGAGACGAAGGTGAGCAAAAATAATATGTGTGTGCGCTTGGCTGTATTTATTTTAACCCCATCTCTTGCGTTTTTATAAATTTTGATAGAAATAACTTTTCCAAGTGGACTTAAATATACACAACATTCATAACTGTGGCGGCCAGCCTCACAACCCCCTCCCTTCTCTCCCACCATGGAGAGCCCAGATGGGAAGAACTCGGATCAATGACAGATGTGTGTAAGAGTGTGTGTGCAGATGCAATGTGGGAGTTCTAAACCAAACATCTTCATTCAGAGAGCCCTATTTGTTTACTAACGGTGCTTCACTGGAGAGTTACCTGAGGAGTCAGTTTATGCATGCACTATCGATCATATATGCTGTCATACCGGATCAATGGTGTACGTATGTTAATGGGGGTTCTGAGCTTGTGTGTGTATATGGGGGTGCTCACATGTACTGTATGTATATGTTTATGTGTAAATGTGCATGTTTGTGTGTGTATGTGGCAGTGTCAGTGGCATTAAAAAGCAATCACACAGACAGTCTCCTACGGTAAATGAGACAGGACCAGATGTCGGAGCGAAGGGGGGGTGACAGAACGCCACTGGGGGCTATTTCTCGCTCTCTGTGTCTAACACACGGACGCACACACACTCATACAGTATGGGGTCCTTTTCCCACTGTTGATGAATTTCCCAAAACATTCCAGCAGGTTCCAGGATAAATCCCAGGTGCACCTTGAGCGTTTTGATATGCTCGGATACAGCCCACTTACCCATCAGCAGAGCACAAAGACTTTAGACCTGACACGCACTCAAACACACATACAGTGTACACACACATACACACACACACACGCGCACACACACACACACACACACACACACACACACACACACACACACACACACACACACACACACACACACACACACACACACACACACACACACACACACACACACACACACACACACACACACACACACACACACACACACACACACACACACACACACACACACACACACACACACACACACACATACCATGTATACATCACTTCAGGGGACATTACATTGACTTTCATGCATTTCCTGGAGACTTATCCTAACCTTAACCATAACCAACACATGCCTAACCCTAACCCTTACCCTTAACCTAATCCTAACCAAGTCTTCACCCTAAAATTAATGATCCATCAATTTTGTCCCCATAAGGGAGGCGAGTCCCTACACGTGACTATGTAAACAGATTTAGGTCCCCACAAGTATAGTAATGCTAGGCAACACACACACACACACACACACACACACACACACAGCATAGGTGTATAGAGATCACAAACTCCACTTTCTCCACACAAGGGAAGGAGTAGATGTTAGGGTGAACACATGGTGGATAAAAGTTAAGCTTGTTTTGTATCCCTCAAAAAATTCTGACATATGAAGTTAATAAAAAAAGAGGAAAAGCCAGATTATCATCAAAAACTAAAAATATCGCAAACAGTGTATACAAATATTGCAACAGAAGAAAAACCATTAGACTTTTGTAGATTCATTAGAACAGTTTAAACTCCCTTAAATTGATACATGATATAAACATAAATGCCATATTTCCCCAAAATGTGACTGGTGCTTGGTAACTTGAATTAAATGTTATTGTTGTACGCCTAAAATTGTTTAATAGTACCCGTTTGGAGAAATAGTGCCATCAAGTAGAAAATATGCATTTTCTTTTAAAGAAATTCCGGATATTCAGTTAGAAATTCCCAAATATAAGGAAGGAACCTTGAGTGGCCACAGGAACCCTAGTGGGGTTGCCATCAAGTAGAAAATATGCATTTTCTTTTAAAGAAATTCCGGATATTCAGTTAGAAATTCCCAAATATAAGGAAGGAACCCTAGTGGCCACAGAGCACATCATATAATTATTTCATAATGCTCAATTCTGGTCTACAATTGTTCTTTCCACAGCAGAAATGTTGACTTTTATAGAATGAAAAGCACAAGAGTGACTTATATTGTTTCAGACGTTTGTTGTCCACAGTTTGACTGCTAGCTTATTGAAATGTCTTACTGGGAACGAAACCATAGTAAGTGTTATTAGATACATCTTTGAAAAAAGCTATAATAATTTAAGATGTATATTAGGGATCTACTTTTCTTATAAAGCCATATTGCATTGACGAGAATAATAAGTCATGTATAATTACACAAATGTATCCAACATTACTATGTGTGATCTGCCGTCTGTAGCACAGACACTGTGGGCGAATCTACAGTTGAAATCGAAGCTCTGTTATCTCATTAGGAGCATTATTGTTTCACTTTGTTCTCACATGACGTGCTAAACCATGTGCTACATGTGTGGTCTTTTTTTTTTTTTATACGACTGGACGTTGTGTTTCACAATTCATATGGAAAGTATTCTATCACGTTTCACTGAAGCGTCCACTAAGCATTGTGTGGCTCCGCGTCACGTTTGGCTTGTGTGTTTTATCTGCAGTGTTCCTGTGGCAGAGGTCTGAGCGGTTGGCTCTGTGGTCTAATTAACAGCATTGCTAATCACAGCTTCCATTAGAGCAGCCCCCGCTGGATAATGACACACACACACAGCACGGGGCGACAGGGGGGAACAGCATGCACTGACATGGACACACAAATACAGACACCAACACACAATAATGCAAGCTTCTCACACACAATCTCCCATATGCTTGTCGGTACAAACATTTGTACACAGAAGGAAAAATACATAAACAAGTCACACACACACACACACACACACACACACACACACACACACACACACACACACACACACACACACACACACACACACACACACACACACACACACACACACACACACACACACACACACACACACACACACACACACACACACACACACACACACACACACACACACACACACAAGACCCACAATCACACAGCTATGTCATGTTGACTTTGTCGTTATACTGTATCTTTCTCTTAGTACAGGGAATTTGTTACATTAGTGTTTTATGTGTGTAATAATGTGCAGTAATGTGCAGTAATAAGACAGTGCTTTATAGGCCTGATAAAAATAAGAAAACAATGTTTTTGCTGCCCAAAAAAACCCTATCAGGAAAGATCAATAAAGTACTATCTTATCTTATCTATTTCACTCAAATGCTAAATAATGCAGGGAGTTTCCTCATGTCTTGATCATTTTGTTGGATTCTATTTTTAATGAACTTGCATGTTTCTGCATTAAGCCTTTTGTCAGTCCATTGTTTGAGAATAAAACTCTTAAAAATGATAAAAGACATGAGGGGATTTCCAGTATTATTTTGCATTTGAGAGAATCCTTCTTTCTCAGTTTGTTTTGGAAATCAACCAGACCTTTTCACAGCAGAGATGGCAGGAAAATACACAGGTGCAATTAATAATATTAATAATATTATTGGTAGCTGAATTCCATGAAGTTGTTCCTCTTCAACAACAACCTCATATACAGTCATGTGTAATTGTTTACTAGTATGGCTCCCTTTGACCCTACTGTTGGTGTTATTTGTGCCACCTGTGCTCTGATAAGTCAAAATGTCTGCTGCCAAAAAAAGTCAGGTAGGCTTTTGTGATATTATGTACTTGATTAATAAGATCATATCACATCTAATAATATCATATATGAACCTTTGTGCAGGAAACCTTTTATGTGCGCTGTAACCTTACAAGCATAGAAGTGGCAGCTGTGCAACTGATGGGAACACTGCAAGGCGGGATCATGTTATGTGTGTGTGTCGGCAGGAGGAGTGTGTGAGGGTAATGCCCTGTGGTGACCTCTGCCCCCAGCCAAAGCGAGGGGAAGTGGGGGAGGCTGGGGGCAAAATGTAGATGAATGGGAGTGAATGGAAGAACTTGACTTGTGGGGCCAAAAGGGGACTATTGTATCTTAACCTATTCTCTTACACAGCCTCTCTGTCTGTGTGTGTGTGTGTGTGTGTGTGTGTGTGTGTGTGTGTGTGTGTGTGTGTGTGTGTGTGTGTGTGTGGTGTGTGTGTACATGCATACTCATTTAAAATAGGTACAGGTGTGCATTTCAAGGGAATCTTCCTTGAATAAAAAGTATTTTCAGTTTTATTGAAAAAAATCACAAGTGTACATGTATATAAAAAGTGTCGTTTGCATGAACAAGAAAGATTTACCCAGAATGCCAAGATGACCTCTCACCCCCTTGTGCATCCACTGTGACATGCAGCAGCTTAGCAGATAAAAGATGCTGGGTGTGAGCAAAAGATGGAGGATGGAGGATGGAGGAGAGGAAGGAGGGGAGCTCCGCCCTTAACTTAAGAGTTTCTCTCAGTGCCTCCCGCCCCCTAAAACTTTGATCTCTGGAGTTTGTCACACACATACAAACACACACACACACACACACTTCTATGCACACAAAACATGCACTGAAACACGCAAACAGGTGACAACCTATCTAATTCTCAAAGGTATTTGGATTTAATAATTCAACTGTTCTTGTGTTGTCGAATAAATGGCCAATGCAGGCCTAGTCAGAGGGAGACGGTGAGGGATAGAGGGAGAGAGAGAGCATAGGAGATATATAGTGAAGGCGGAAGAGAGAGGAAAAAGGAGAACAATAAGGGCTCATTGTTTGTTTTGTTCTGCTCTGAAAAAGAGGGAAGAGAAGCGCTTCCCTTCTGAGACTGACTCACAGAGGTAGAGGCAGCTGTGTGTTTGTGTGTGTGTGTGTGTGTGTGTGTGTGTGTGTGTGTGTGTGTGTGTGTGTGTGTGTGTGTGTGTGTGTGTGTGTGTGTGTGTGTGTGTGTGTGCCTGTGCACGGGTATCCAACAGTGAATAGGATTTAACCCGTCACGGCAATGCGTTTCTTTACCCATCCGTGGATACAATGAGACCAGCCGGATATCAAACTACCCACCCACACCCTCAGACACACACACACACACACACACACACACACACACACACACACACACACACACACACACACACACACACACACACACACACACACACACACACACACACACACACACACACACACACACACACACACACACACACACACACACACACACACACACACACACACACACACACACACACGAATGGAGTATATTGATTATTACAAGTTAAAGATTTGCTTTTACTACTCGATTACAGTAGGTTCTGTCGTATCCTTCGGTCTGTACTTTGTAGACACTCCGTCATGAGAGACAAGGGTGAGACTTTCAGTGTGCATTCAGTCGTGTGTGTGTATTTTTGTGTGTGTGTGTGTGCGACAGACAGAAGCAGAAAGCAATAAGCTTGCTGAAATGGTGCCATCAGAGCTACATGATTGATCAATTGAATTCCATCATGGGGACTGGCCGGTGGGATTAAATGGGTCGCCGTGGGTTACCAGGCTAAAGCATCATACCGGCTTTATCTCCCCCCTGATTGGTCTGTCACCAGAGACCTGGACCATACACTCACACTGCTCCCAGCACCTGTATATGACTTTGTGTGTGTGTGTGCGTGACTATAGACGAGAAAGAGAGATTATGATCAAGCAGTGTTTGTAAGAGAGTGGGTGAAAGAGGTTTTGTGTACTGAAAAGGTATGGCGAGGTTTTGTGAGTTATGCAGCACTCTGTGAGTGTGAGGTGTTTTTGTTGGCAGACAGATACTGTCTCCTGATTCCAGGTTCACTAGAAGTCTTTGCGGCGAACTGAAAAATATTCCTTGTGCCAATGACATTACCACCTAAACTCGGAAAATAAAAGAGTTTGCAACCAGTTGTAGTATTATACAGCTGGGAATTATTGATCATTATTTTATTAATTTATTGGGAGACATTATTTTCTGTCTGAATTATTTTCTGTCTAAATGGCTTGATAGACCCAGAGTTGTAATTCCACAGTGTGGCCACTATCTTATATTGGCTTTGAATCCTAGAGGTGTTCTTCTGGACCTGGGCAGGTGTACTGCCTCACATGATGGCTCTCGAGTCAGCATTAATAAATGCCTCTAGAAATGTCAAATGAAATAATCTGCTTACAAATGAGGGAGTTAAAGAAATAAGAGTATCCCTGGCTCTGCTTTGGTTATGATCCTTTTAAAAATTAAAATAAATTCTGTTAAGTACTCTTGGCTGTGGTTTGGAAATAAGGGATGGTAATGGATCATAAGAGCCAACTTGTAATCAAGTGTAATTATCATGTAATGTTGAATGTGGTAAAATTCCCTGAAGCCCTTGTTCTAGTGTGTCCACTTTCTTTATTTTTTTTACATCGGTCTTTGTTTTTCTTTAGGATCAGAGTCTTGCACAAATGGATCTGTATTCCCTGTCCAAATGAAAAAAAAATTGAAGCTCCTTTCCCCTCTCCAACTATCTGTCATATCAGTGTCTCTGCCACCGGACACACACTCACACACTGACATAAACACACGCCACACACCAAACACACACTCCCACACAAAAAACGCACAGTGACCCCAGGACTAAAATAGGCTCTCAGGAGCGGTTTGAAGCAATGAATTGGCTCTATGGAGGGGGATTTTCACCCTCATCCCCTTTTTCTCTTTATCTTTCTCTCTGGTTCTCTCTTTTCTAATCATTTGTGGGCCGCGACTCTTCAGAGTTCTTATAATTGTCTCGTTCAGTCCCTCAGCCTTGCAATAACTGCAGGATACGAGAGCTCACGGTCTAATACTGATACCCCAGCAATATATATTTGTGTGTCTGTGTGTGTATGAGTGATACGACAAGAGGAATGGAGAGGTGTGTTATATATGAGAGGCGAAAGTGTACTTTTGAGAGATCAAGAATGAGAGAATTGGATTGCATTTGTATAGCATTTTCTCTGAGTCTCCACAATCTATGAAGTCACTCAGTCTGAAATCAGCTCAGTGGGGTTCATGAGTCCATACTTTGCTCCAACTTCTCTCTCCACATCTGCCTCACTAAATTATTTTATCAACACACACCTCCCTTCATTTCTCCATCATTGCCTGAGACTGGTTTCTTCCCTCTGCAATTCACATTAGACTCAAACCCTCTTTAAACCTCCTCTATTTCTCTTTTCAGCCTCATATTCCTCCATTAAATATCCTCCGTGTACAACCTCTCTAACCACACTCCTTTCTCCTGTCTTTCTCATGTAGGATTACTGGAGTCGCCGCTGGCCAACGGGCATGGCCACAGTGGGCGGGACTTCCTCCGAAAGCAGATGAGAGGGGAGCTGTTCTCGCCGCAGCAGATCGAGGTATTGGACCGCCTGTTTGACAGACCATGTCCAATCCAATCCAGCTCTGACCTCTATGTGAGCCCTGACTCTGGCAAGGTAAGGGCGTGGCACCGCAGGCTCTGGGCCGAGGCTGAGTTTGAGAGTAGGTTGAGGGTACGACACAACTTTAGGGTTCTCTAATGCTAGGTACCACTAATGCAAACCGAAGATTTCACATGCTTGCTGCGCTAACTTTGCAAAAGCTTTTTATAGGTATTCTTAAAGTAAGGAGTGAGTGACCTCAAATAGTGACTGGTTGGCCTTTGACGAGATGCCACATATTTCCGTGCCAGTAAATAACGGTCTAAACCTGGTAATCCCAACAGTATGTAAATAATATTGTTACTCGCAGATGCAAAATCTGACCAGAGGTAATACATGAATTAAACACAAAAATGATAATGTAAAAGAAACAAGAGTATGCAGTGAGGCTACTGTATATTCATAGATTGATTAAGGATTACTACGAACATTTTCGAGGATTAGTTACAGAGGGCAGTCTTAAATCTATGGTGCTCTAACCTGGATTTGCCTTGGTGTTAGCTTGGTAAACTTTGTCAGTGAATACAAAAGTTGTTTGTTTGATCTACAAATATGTTGTTTGTATTTAGAAAAGCAACTTCATTCATACAAATGACAAACACTAACGGAAATGCTTGCCTCTGCTTTTAGCTAACAGCCTGTCCACCCTGCTACGCCTTGCCATGCCTTGCCAAACTCAAAGAAATTAGTCGGTCTGTTCAGAAAATCCCAAATAAATATGTGTATATCTCCCCAACAATGCAGAATAATTGCATTTTTTCCTGGTTCATCTGTTTTGTTTTTCCACTGAGAGATGTGAAAATGAAAGCATCAAGTCGTGTTTCTCTGTCAGTCCGACACACTGCTGTGAGTCTCTGTGGTCTGATAGACATTGTGATGGCTGCAACAGAGACCCACTCAGGCCTATTGATGTTCCTATAATCCAGATACACTGCAGTGGTTAATGAACATATTGACCTGGCTCTCATTATGACCTCACTTCCTGCTGTTTAGGGATGCCAAAGGAGCTGTCCGCATGCTGATGCCTATTGGGAATGTGCTGCATTTGTGTGTCGTTTGCATGTGAAAAAAGAAACATGAGCAAGAAAGGGATTATATGCATGTCTTATAGCAACATCTAAATTGACCTCCCGCCCTTTCTCAGCAGTTTAGTTAATGTAACTCTGAGTGGAATAAACAAGTGTAAGTAGGACGCGGAATAACAAAATGACAACAAGCAAGCATTTATATTCTCTCTAGATTTTCTCAGGTGTCCTCTTATCTGCAGCCCTACGCAAAATATTAAGGAAATATTTTGCCAAAGTTTCTGGTTTCAACCGCCTTGAAAAGCATCCCTTATTCAGATGTATTTATTCAGTCGGTGTCAAGGGCAAAAGGACAAACTCACACTAGAGGAGTGTATGGAGTCACATGTAGGGTACAGCCTTAGACCTCTAGGGCAGGGTTTCGCTTTTTAGCCCATTCACTTCCCTGTGACCGACATGGGGAGTGGAGTGGTATAGGGCGAGAGGGCGAGAGGTCGACAGGGATTGGCTCTAGTAGCTCTATAGACTATGACTCAAGACTATAATACCCATGATTCATAGGTCAGTGTCGTCTCTGAGCCCGGTCAAGCCACTGGGGTCAGGCATAGGGGCTTTAAACGGCGGGTCGCCCTGGGGTCAAACTGGCTTTAGGACGCTGCATTGTGATTACAAAGAGGTGCACATACACACATGCATTTTGTCACTCTCTCTCTTTCTCTCTCTCACACTGCTGTCTGTCCCTCTTTCTTACCTTCCTTCTCTCATCCTGTCTAGTCGACCACCCCCCTTCTTCCTGTATTTCCCAGAGGGAATGATTGACAGTCATACCCTTAACACTGACAGCTACAGCTCAGCCTCTTTGGTATGTGGGCTGAGCTGTGTGTGTGTGTGTGTGTGTGTGTGTGTGTGTGTGTGTGTGTGTGTGTGTGTGTGTGTGTGTGTGTGTGTGTGTGTTTATGTGTGTGTGTGTGTGTGTGTGTGTGTGTGCGTGTGTGTGTTTATGTGTGCGTGTGCGTGCGTGCGTGCGTGCGTGTGTGCGTGTGCGTGTGTGTGTGTGTGTGTGTGTGTGTGTGTGTGTGTGTGTGTGTGTGTGTGTGTGTGTGTGTGTGTGTGGCACTGCTTGATGGGGTTATGGTCAAGGGGGGCAACGCTGTGTTGTGGCTGACATTCCAAAAGGATACTTGATTCAAACTTGGCCCTGATGTTGATGGTGGCAGCATGTGAGGGTGTCAGTGTGTGTATTAGTGAAAGAAAGAGAGAGGGACGAAGCACAGACGAGAGAGAAACAGACGCAAGTGGCTCAATTTCAGGTACCAACAGTATATTATAATGGTATCCTAATATACGATAATTTCCGTGGTTATTTCAACCTGCTCATTATCTTTTAGCTTTCTTGCACTGAAACACGAGCCTCATTCATTTTTTCTTCTTCCACCATCCCACTTAAATAGATAAGAATTAAAATTGCTCACGTTCTTCACAAGCATATCTTATTTTATCTGTCCCCAGTAGTTACTTTTTTATCCTATTTGTCTCCTTAACTTTATCTTTCCCCCCTAACAAGCCATCCTTTTATCTCATCTCCCTCTACGGCTCTTGTTCCCCCTCTCTCTAGTCTATTAAGCCCCAGTATTAATGTGTGTGTGTGTGTGTGTGTGTGTGTGTGTGTGTGTGTGTGTGTGTGTGTGTGTGTGTGTGTGTGTGTGTGTGTGTGTGTGTGTGTGTGTGTGTGTGTGTGTGTGTGTGTGTTGTGTGCTCATCTGTGTGTCTGCACGTGTGCCTGTCAGAGAGAGTTCATTTGAATTTCCCTTCAATCACTTCCTATTACTCAGGTGATAAATCAGCAAGGCTTATGGAGCTACCACCCATCCATGCTGCCCTGGGTCCAAATGCCCACCCCAGCACCAATCAGTCTGCCTACATTGGGATAGAGTAATAAGAGAGAGGGTCTTTTTAATTCTCTCTACCCCAAAAGATCAAAAGTAAGAAAAGGTCAAAGGCAAAGGCTCTGAAGGATGGAGATGGTTAAACTGGTCGGACTCATATTGAACACAAATACAACTTTACTCTCCATACTACAGAAATTGTATTTATAAGGGGGAATCTTTAACCCAGGACACAAAGCCTGTGTTTGTTTGGGCCCACATTGTCCTGGTTTTGTTATAGACCATACAACATTTTTACATTCGAAATCTTTAAAAAAAACTCGTTACAAATATATAGCTCTACCTAGTTTTCATTTCCTAAAACAGGGCAACAGGATATTCATAACAACCTATAAAAATCATATTTCATTTTGAAATTTCCATTAATAAATTATTCATAAATGACTAATGTTAGCCTAGAGTTGAGGTCTATCTGACTCGTCAGGAAATAAATAGCCACCATACTGTGGCCACGCTCAGTTTGAGCGCAGATGAATTCCTTCCCCACAATCCCATGTCTCAGTTTGTGGGCCTCTAAGGGAATTGTATTTGTTTACAGTCAAGCCTTTTTCCATCAGGAGAACACGAGACAATGTGGAGAGAGAGAGAGAGAAAAAAATCAGGGGAGCTATTTGGGGAATGGAGGAAAAAGGGAAATACTATTATGCAAATGGTGCAAGCCTGTGTGTGTGTGTGTGTGTGTGTGTGTGTGTGTGTGTGTGTGTGTGTGTGTGTGTGTGTGTGTGTGTGTGTGTGTGTGTGTGTGTGTGTGTGTGTGTGTGTGTGTGTGTGTGTGTGTGTGTGTCAGAGAGCCGATTACTACCTCATCTGTTATTGATGTGAAATTTGGACCAAACCTTCTCAGATCTGAGTCAGTAGACCAACCTTCTGTGGTGTGAGTTAAGGAAAAGGTAATTGTGCTCGCATAATGTTGAAGAACTATTTAGATATGTGGTCATGTTTCATTTAATCATTAAGATGTTACTTGTTATCTTAGCACATGGCGTTTTCTTTATGAAAGTGGAAAGGGAATATAAAGAAGCAGACTACAATTACAGGCCAAATGGAGAAATGTGTAAACAGAAGATACAAATGACTTTAAAATCCTGTTAATATTGCAAATGAAGAGTCTGAAATGCAAATCTGCTACAAACTCAATGAAATGATTCTGCTTCTGGCCTAGGTTGTCAAACTTGTATACACTGTAACCAACTCCACCAAAAAGACACCCCAAGTACCATCTAGCTGAAGACCTACCAAACACCTTCTTCATCCAACAACATTTAAACCAACATTTGTGAAGACTAAATGTTTTCTCTAGGAGCTCTCTGTACATTGCTAACACAAGGGGTGGCGTTTAAATTAATGCGGCAATTCCATTACTTTTACACAGAGCTAATATTCAGAAAAATCGTCTTGTCCTTTTAGTTTGCTCAGGTCTTACATGCGTCCATTTCTCTGTCATCACTTTCCCACCAACATCCTCTTACCCTTCTTTTGGCCTGCCCCTGCCACCTTTTCTTGTTACCCTCCATCCTGCCCTGTACAACTCCCCCTCCGCCACCCCGCAAGCCCCAGCCCCTCCGCAGCTGCGTCCCTCCTCTTTGATGAGGGCTGATGGCGCTGTATGAGCGGTGGAATTGACAACATTTACGGGGCCGAATGAGAATGATCCATCTTCCTTAGCGTGCTTGTCACCCCACTGGCCAAACTTCATCATGGCCAATTACCACGGCAGACCCCTTCTACTGTGCTGCTGTCTGGCCCCCATCTACATGGATACATGGACACATTAGACACCATTATAATAAGACAGAGAGCGGCCAAGAAGGGAAGGAGGGGTGGGGGGCAGGGATAGCATGTATGATTGGGTGGGAAAAAAAACTACAGGTGTGATGTGTGAGGGGGGCGAAAGAGGCGTTAAGAGAGAAAAGACAGCTTAAAAATGTGTCTGAAGTGTAAAGAGAGAGAGAGAGAGAGAGAGAGAGAGAGAGAGAGAGAGAGAGAGAGAGAGAGAGACGTGTGTGTAGTGTACTGGGTAAGCTCTTATTTGGCAGGTCACAGTCCAGTGGTTGTGTTGTGTGTTGACGAGCACAGGGGTGTTTAAGAGGTCAGTGAGCACAAACACACGCCTACACTTCTCCACACACACACACACACACACACACACACACACACACACACACACACACACACACACACACACACACACACACACACACACACACACACACACACACACACACACACACACACACACACACACACACACACACACACACACACACACACACACACACACACACACACACACACACACAGTGATGCAGAGGTATTAAAAGGGTCAGTGCAAAACTCTCACCTCATCACCTAATAGGAATTTCTGATTGCTGTCATTAGTGTACACACAGACACACACACACACACACACACACACACACACACACACACACACACACACACACACACACACACACACACACACACACACACACACACACACACACACACACACACACACACACACACACACACACACACACACACACATCCACACACAGTAGTTCCTCAGTTTGTGCAGTAAGTAGCTACATATACTGTACTTTTTGTGATTACAAAAGCAACATTGTCACTGACTATGAATCTTGGAGCTAAATTCAACGAAACATTTTGAATGACAAACATAATTTACAATACTTGTAGCATGAATGTCCTACTTTTGTTTTATATTACCAGCTGTTTGACTGTGACATGTCATTGCCTCCTATTTCCTTGTTTTTAGAAACACGGTAGCATTAACACCTCGATGTTGCTTGAAGAGAAACACCAAGCTTAAGAGTGTTTCTCCATTTTTTGCTATAGGAAAAGATTTACAAATGAAGAAAAATCACATAAAATCCCACATACACAATCATAGTCAGCAGACAGGTCATTTGCCAAGAGCTGAGCGGCCCCTTAGAATTGGTGGTTAATCTATATATAGCTGGTCATCATTGTCAATGCTATCACTCTAAATCACTCCACACATTATTAAATGTGCCAACTGCTAGGACTGTCTTAGGGAAGATAGCTTTTAGATGCACAGCTCCTCTGTCTTGGAACAGTCTGCAAAAGGAATGGAAGCTGAGCAATTTGGTTCCACTAAATGTTTTTAAAGCAAGGATAGATGCTATCCAATCAGAAACTGTTGGAACCTGTAAATGTTACTAGCTATGTAAACTGTAGTCGCTGTAAATATGCTGTATGATGTCCTTTTTGTTTTTCTGTTATGTTTATATGTATTCATGTGGAACCTACTTGCAGCAGGTCACCCTTGAAAAAGAGATCAATGATCTCAATGGGATTCACCTGCATAAATAAAGGTTTGAAATGAAATGAACACACACACACAGAGATCTGGATAAGAGATGAGGATTGATGGGTCATGGCTCTGTGTTAGGGTCAGACACAGGTGAGCGGACAGTTTCCATTACTCTGTCTGCCTTAAGGTCATGATCTATATAGACAATAGATATATTTTTCATGAACAGATTGTAAAATGTTCAGCATTATATAATTGGAAATATTTGTTTTGGTACTGCAAGTATGCAAAGAAACATGTTGAGATACCACCATAAACACTATCAAACAATTTGTATAAAGCAGTCTTCATTCAAATCTATAACATTCTATAATTTCATTAATCAAGTGATCAAAAGAGTTTGCACAGAGAAAAATGTTACAAGTAGATAACTAGATATTGGTTTGTCACTTCAGTATCCTCTTCTCTATATGTTTTGTACATCTGTGTGTGTGTGTGTGTGTGTGTGTGTGTTTGTGTTTGTGTGTGTGTGTGTGTGTGTGTGTGTGTGTGTGTGTGCGTGTGCGTGCGTGTGCGTGTGTGTATGTTTGTGCTCACTGTGCACTAGGAAGCTGAGTGTACGTGTGTTGAGATGATCACGGTTCTTATTGTTGTTGGTATCTGGGGAGACAAGAGGCTTTATGTTAGCCATAGTCTATGCAATGTGTGTGTGTGTGTGTGTGTGTGTGTGTGTGTGTGTGTGTGTGTGTGTGTGTGTGTGTGTGTGTGTGTGCGTGTGTGTGCGTGTGTGCGTGTGTGCGTGTGAACGGGAGAGAGAGAGAAAGAGAAAGAGAAAGAGAAAGAGCGAGCTGATCCTGTGGTTATAGACTGTTGGACTTGGTTGTACACTAAATCCCTGTCTTTGTAAACAGATCAATAAACTCCACTGTGGGTGTGTTTATGTATGTGTGTGTATGTGTTCCTACTAAAGCTTCTTTGCTATAAGGAAGGGGTAGCATGTTGGAACTGTAGCAGGAAATAACAAACAAATTGATCACAGCTGTAAGCAACATCCAGCACTGTATTCATGTTGTATTAAACATAAAAGGTCATGGATTTATTCTCTTTATTCTGTTCTATTCTTTCTCCACTTCCTGTCTCTGCTCAGACGTCAGATTATTCGGGCATGGCCTCACTAGCGGGAGGACTGGACGAGATGAAGAACAGTTTGGGTAATCCAGGTACAGGGGCGGAGTTAGGAGCCAGCGTGTCGGGTCCACAGTCCTATTCACTTGTTCCAGGTAAGAAACATATCCACCATTTAACTTCACTCATGCTCTGAAATAGACTTTTTGCTAACCAATTAAAAATGGAATAAGATATAAGTGATAAGGGTGCATTTCATATAACTACAACATCTCAGGTTCAATTTCTTCCTTAGTATCATTGTTGTTTATGGTAACACCCTTTCTCTCTTTCCCTCTGACATTTCTACCTGTCAAATAAATAAATAGTAAAAAATGTGTGAAGCATAGTCAGCAATGTCAGTTTGAAGTCAAGTGCGGTTATATTTCACCTATGGTAAGAGACCGGAAAGTCAAACACATTTTTCATAACTTTAGTCAATTCTAATAAAAAACAAATGTGAACCTAACAGAAAGGGCTTTATTTAGCTAATTAACAAAGATGAAAAGTCAGACATTGGGTGAGAATATACATTTGCAAGCTTCCCAAATGGCAGGCTAACACAATCTGCCTGTCCGTTCGTCTGTAATGTGATTCATTTCGTTGCCCTGATTCTGTGATCATAACTAATTACATATAATTTATAGATTATATTAAATTAATCTATAGTGCACAGACCTGACAATAGCATTATATGAAAAATACCATGATTGATATTCACATACCGTCTACCTCAGCAGCTACATGGCCTGATTGAGCCCGTTTAAAGATATCAGTGCTTTGGATCTCAGGAGAGGTCAAGAGCCCAGAGGACGGAAGGAAAAGAAAGGTGGAAGGATAGAGGAAAAGTGAGAGCCCTGTCTCTTCCTCCGTCTCCATTTAGGGGCGCTGGGAGAGGCAGTGGTTAATTAAGAGTAGACCTGGGAGCACTTGGCAGAGGCTTCGACGTTCCCATCTATAATGAGGGGAATCATAGAGCTGGGAATTTGGGATATCTGGGAATGGGCTCTTTTTTTGCCCTTTGAAACCACAGAGGAATATTACCTGCTCAAGTCAAAGGAGAAAGACAGAGACACAGAAAAGAAGAGAGAGAGATAACATTTCCATTTCTGCTTATGCATGCAAACACACATTCGTATTCACACGCACACACACACCTTCTTAATATTATGCATGCATTTCCTGCCTGTCTTTTCCCTCAGAATAGAGCTCCCTCTAGGGGATCAGACGTCTGTGTGTTTGACGCAATGTTATTGCACCCTTGACGCGTTGATACTCTGGACACGCTGTAAAGCAACATTTATACATTCAATCTTCCTTTCTGAGGCTTTTCCAAATCTTTAGGGCATTTTCGTTTTAGTCTCAACCTCACCTACTCTACTCAAGTGCAAAAGGACACACTGTACACTCCCAAATCCCTCCAGGTTTGACATATGTTGTTCTGATGGCTGTTTGATGGGGAAGAGTAAGATAAGACGACAGTAAAAGAGAAAGGGAGGCAGACGATGTTCATGTAGCTGCAAGTGAGCATGGAGGAGACTTGTACTTGTTAGTTGACCTCTACGGAAAAGCTTTGGAGAGCAGATACATCAACACAACTGGCATACATATGCACAAATATACTGCGTGCACAGACAGTGCACACACACACACACCTCTGAGGATCTGACCCTGTCTGCCCCCTCTAAGTTGGGCTGTAGAGAGTCCATCTCTCCTCGCGTCCACCCTCTCCTCCCTCTCCTCCGTGCCCTGTGCACTGACCCCGAGCGGATGAGTAGCCCGTCTGCACTAATGCCTCGCTGTCGCGTCAAACACAGAGAAAAACTTTACTACACTGAGACAGGAGAGAGGAGGCGGAGAGGGACAGAGGAAGCTGTAGTAAAGAGGGGATCTGTGAGAGAGAAACAAGTATACTAAGGAGGGGAAGAGACTATATAAATCTGCTGATTTGTATTTGTACCGGTGAGGCAAGCGTATAACACATGAGATAAACCTTTTTAATAAAAGGCCATTTTAGCCACGTCTGAGCTTTTCTGTAGAGCCACCATGAAAACATCTGATGTCTCTTATACTTTTGTTAATGACAAAATATTTCCTTCAGCCGTACTTTAGTGTTACCGGTAAGTTAACACATTTTAACACGCTAAGGTTATGAACATGGTAACCATTAGCCTCTGGAGAAAACAACCAATATTTGATGGGATTCCGGTGAGGCAGGCGTATACCGGGCCAAGCCTTTCTATTTGTTGTGCCAATTATTATTTCAGACCATGTCTCCTACAAAAAAACATACAGAAATGACAAGTTAACTGCACTAGAGTTTAAGTTTTAAAATATGTGTTTAACTTTGTAAATTGAAACAAGACAAACCAAAACTGCTAACTAGGAAATGCATTCCGCATCTTTTGCTTTTCACTTTCACCAAAGACTGCCTACATTTAGTGTAAACAGTCAATACTACACTGACTAAAAAAGAAAAGCATTACATTTCTGTGACTTTAATCTTGACCGGTGCCTTAATTTGCATGTATATGTAGGTAACTGTTTAATAGAGATTATTGCACAACATATATTCGCACATTATGATATGTTTGCCATAAACTAATAATAACAGATAAATCAGCACAGCCAAATAGGTCTTGTTCTATTCCCAGTAATGGAAAGAAAAGAAATCCCTGTCCCTGTCTGTCACCGTCTCTCCCTTCTCCTTGTCTTTTATGTTCTCCTCTCTATTTCCCAGCTCCTCCTGCTCCTCCTCTCAGTTAGTTAGCGGTGGTTAAGTGGAGGGGAAGTGAATGGGATTGATGGTGTTAGCATCTGAGCTGTTTATGATGATGATAAATGTGTGTGTGCAGGGGGCAGGGAGGAGGTGGGTGTCGATGCAGGAGTGTGTGTATGTACGTATGATGATGATGAATGGAGGGCTCCATTTTCACGCACTCCCAATGTCTACTGCGTGCAAACATAGAGAAATGATTCGGGCCGACACACTGTCATGTAGTCTAATGCAGTTATATATCCTATCCACCAGGTGACAGACAGAGGAAGGAGGGGGGAGATGGTGGTAACGAGAGAAGGGGGAGTTGATAAATTAATAGATGTCAGCGGATAGAAAACGAGGAAAAAATAAACAAAAGAAAGAGGGACATCCAAAATGTGCTTCTGCATTATAATTTCAGTAAAGGTCCTGTATGAAACCAAATAGTATTTTAACTTTTCACACTTTTCCATAGCATAACAGGTATAGCAAGTATAATGAATACTTATTACGTTGTTGATTACACCTGTGCTATATCTGCTAAAACATCAGTGTGAAGTGAACATGGCTAAATGATGATGTCTCAGTAAAAGTATTATTTATATATTACATTAATGCATGTTTTTAACTTATTTTCTAAAGTCAATTAATTAATTAAAATGTTGATTAAAAGATTACCACTTTAGTTTTAGTATAAATATAATTCAGATATAAAAATCAGCTCATGTAAAACGTTTCGTTTCTAGATCGATGAATCCATTATTCAATTAGCTGATTGACTGTAGACAAGCAAACATCTGAATAAGAAATGTAAACTTTAAAGCAAGTGTCAGAGCTCCTCCTAGTTTCTTACATTTAATGATAAAAAAGGTGACTGAATTTGGGTTTTAAGACGTTGGTTCATACAAGACCAAACATCTGAAGACATAGTTTTGGACTGGTATCAGTGAATGTACTGAATATATTGGTTTATGGCAGGTTTAATATAGGACACTAAAAGTTAGGAACTAGCAGAAATAATAGAGCTACAAGCTACAAATATATGTGTGTGTTTGATTACAGGTCGAGACTTAGCCAGCACCACTCTGCCAGGCTACCCTCCTCATGTTCCTCCCACTGGACAGGGCAGCTACTCCACCCCCTCCCTAACTGGCATGGTACCAGGTGAGTGCCACGAAACGCACACTACACATACAGTTTCAATGTTCCCGTTTCTCGCTACCAAAAGTTACATTTATTCTGTAATTTCTTGCCACCCATCACTTAGCAGATCTTTAACTAAATACATATCTGTTTGAATTCCCGATGGATGTGTGTGTACCTTTAGGAGGTGCACTTAGCTTAGCCACTTCCTCCTTCTTGTCTGTCTACACCATGGCTGACAGTGCTCCCAGGGGGTGGCGTGTGTGTGTGTTTCTGAGCGTATGTGTGTATGTGTGTTTGCGTGGGTGTGTCTCTCTGTGTATCATTAGAAAGCAGCCACAGTAGCACAGCTGTCCCTCCTCAACATTAGTAATTTGTTTTTAATGAGAATCACCAGTGACCCACGACTAATTCATTCATTCCCTTCCACTCCGCCTTCTACGCTGCTTTTGTGTTTCAATCCTGGATCGCCATTCTTCTTCTGTCTCTTTCTCTCCTCCTCTCTCTTTTCTCTCTCTCTCTTTCTCAAAGTGCATTGCAGTGGTGGTCAAGGTTTAGTATACTGAAGATAATAAAACGGTAAAACACAAAGCAACAGAGGCAGTGAGACAAAGTCAAAATGATGTTGTTTACAAGTTCTTGTCTCAGTGTATTCCCAATCATTCACTGTAACAAACACACACACACACATATACTTCTAGGCTGACAAGCACACAAACACACACGCACACTCTCAGCGGACATGTAGGAACAGCACGTCTAAAGATGGGTAACCCTGTCGCCCTGTCCTCCTGCGCTCACCCCGTCCTGTCCTCAGGTTTGACAGCATATTTGTGTGTGTGTTGGGGTTGGTGTATGTTTATGTGTGATGGCATGCGGTTGTTTGTGAGCTTGTGTATTTTGTTCCAACAGTGTGTGTGAGTGTGTATGTGTGTGTGATGCGACCTTGACACTATAAGCTACACGAGGGAGACCCCTGAGCGTCCTCACCCTTCCTTCCACCACCCCCCCTTTTCCTAAACAACCTGACACGTTGCCGTCACAACGGTGATGACAAGGGGAAGATGTTCGCACCCAGGGATGCCATGGAGACCGCATCCCGACCCCACCTGACAGACGCAGCTAAACATCCACACACATAAGCACACACACAAAGGGTAGTGGGAACCAGAAAATGTGTTGGGTTGTATATACAAACACACACACCCACACACACAAACAGTCTCAACATCTAAATTCTTCTCAGTGAATATTCGAAGCTGCCTGAATCCTTGAGCTGACTGGAGTGAGTGGAAGAGATAATCTCTCAACTTTGCTTCTCCAGCTTCGCCTTGTTTTATCTCAGCACTTCTCAGGCAAATGATCCTCCTTTTTGTCCGCTCTGTCTAATATCATACCTTCATTAAGCAAGCAACTCTGTTCTGCTGTTCTTCTTCTCCCTCTCTGTCTCTCTCTCTCCCTGCAGCAGGGGGGCTGACACTCAGAGGGGGTGTAGAGGAGCAGCGAGGCAGAACCGACAGAACGAGAGGGAGAGGGTTAGAGGGAGGGGGCATCAGGGTCTGTGACTGTCAGCTATGGGAGAGGGATCCCCCCGGGAGCAGTGAAGGAGGAGAAGAGAAAGAAAGAGCAAAAGAGTGGGGAAAAAGAAAGCAAGTCAGCAGAGAGATGTGTAAAAAAAAATAGAGGAGAAGAAATGGGGAGGAATGTTGTTTTGATGTGAAGGGTGACGGGTGGGCTGTAGTCTGGTGGGCCAGAGGACGAGAGAGAGAAATAAAGAGAAAGGGGTGAAGGGAAGACAAGAGGAAGAGTAGACCCCAGACAGTAAGTAGTAAATGAGGGAGAAAAGCTATGCTATCATCCACAAAACGAGAGTACCACCACAGTGAGATCTCCTGTTCAGCTCCTCAACCAGTCTGCAAATCATTACTGCAGAAAACTAACGCCTGGTTAAAGCTTCATTATAAGCAAAAATCCTCAAACTACATGACACATTTTCCATTAACATTTGTCATTAAAATAACAACTGCTGCTGTCATTTCATTCACCCAAGTATCCCAGATATGATAGGGCGTTTATGTTCAATAGATATAAGGTGTTGAGAGCATTCACTTATACTAAAATATTTTAATGAGGTTGTGAAACTAACAAGCACTTAAATACAGCTGGATCGGGTAACGCAAAATAAAAGTCAAAGGCTCAGAAAAATTCAAATTTAAAGATTAAAACCAACAAAGGTTTAGCATTCGATTTCACAAGGGAAAGGGAAAAAAACAAGATCATCCTCCTTATTCTTTGTTGTGTTTAAACATGCTCTATTTCTTGTTTATGTTTTTTTCAGGGGGAGATTTTTCTGGCAGTCCATACTCCCATCCCCAGTATTCCACATACAACGAATCGTGGAGATTTCCTAACCCCAGCTTATTAGGTAGGTGTTTCTCATATCTCTGCACCCAGTTCTACCAACCAGAAATAGATCAATAATTGTATCAATGAATTTCATTTCCTTCTACCTCACATCCTCTCTAATACTCCCTTGTAATATGCCGTATCTTTCATGCTCCACTAATTTTTTTTCAAGACATTACATTTCTTTCTGTATTGTATCGTACAGTACAATTCATCATAGACATACTAATGGTTCTGTGAAAAGATGATTTAAAAGACTGGCAATTTGGGTTGTGAATGGATCTGAATAAAAATGGAAGACAGCGAGAGAGAAAGAGATCAGACCATACTGCCACGAGCACTGTGCCAGACTACAATGAGCAGGCAATATTGCTTATAGACTCAAATTAAATAATCCTTTGGAAGGTAATGTTACGTCAGTCTTAAAAACAAGTTTTCAGACAACCCATGCAGGTCTGACAGCAAAATCCAGCACTCGCAATATAGAAAAATGTGTTTCTGTTAAACGATTAAAACTTCAATGTGCTTTCTGCTTTAGCATTAGAAGTGGGTGATATGACGATATATAACAGAACAGATTTTGCCATATAGCTATGGAGATATGAGGCCATTGTGGATTAAAGACCAACAAGCAGCAGTGCTTTATGTGTTACTGTATTTGATTTGTATGATTGTTACATAAAAGCAATGAAATGGGTCTGTCAGGTGTCAAATATACTGGATTTGCCCAAAAGAACAAAATACAATTTTAACCATTTATGAATTCTCTGTTGATTTTCCAGAAAATGTTTTTTTTTATCATATATATCAATAATGTGATATAAATGTACATATTCTTCCACCTAATGCCAAAAACCATGGATCTCTTTAGCCTTCAAAAACCGTAATTGCAAATGTTATAATTAAATCTTGAAACTGCATCTGTGTTTAAGAGGGACAATTAACCCAGAGGCAAAATCAGTCAGTGTCAAAGTCATTATAGGGAGCCATTTTAGAGGTCACGTTTAAAGGTGAAGCGGTCAGCGGCTGGCCGTGTAAAGGTCAATAGGTGAGAAGGTTGAGTGCTGTGCTGACCTGTGTCCCCCGCTTCCTCTCCTTACCTCGTCTCCCCCCCTTATTTCTGTCCCCAGTGTTTCAGCAGGATTACGGGTCTCTCCTGGGAACGGAAATCGGCTGCTCCTCCAGTCTCTTCACCAGCCAGGCTGGACAGATGCAAGGTAGGAGGAGAAAGAGAGAAAGCTAGTCAACATATGCAACGTGTGACGATTCATGAGTCTTTGCAGAGGTGCAATGGTGAGGTGCATAGAAAGGGAATAGAAGAAAGGGAAAAGTTCCCTGTAAGGAAAATATCACTCGTCACCGGCTTGAGCTTCAATATCAGGATACATGTATTTATTATCCTTGCAAGAATGGATGTAGTCATCACATACAGAGCATATGTTACAACTAGTTCCTGAACAGTGTCATTCACATGCTTATACAAGAGATGCTGTTACACAGTCACAAGATGCAGAAATACCAGTTCAAAGCAAGCAGTATACAATGTTTAGTTTAGATTAGCTAAGGCCCACGTCAGAAATGATCATGCTTGTCATATGTCTATCTCCATAGAGGCTGATTCATGATGTTAATCGTTGTCACATAGCTATCATATGCCTAAAACAGTGTGTCCTGATGCTTTTCTAGGTGTCATGTACACAGCAACAGTAGGGCCTTTGTTATCATGTGCTATTCTAATATTGGAAGAGTACATTCAGAATCTTCCCAACATTTAGCATGAAAACGGATGAGCTGCCACATAATACGAGGACAACACGCACATTAGGATGCACTGAAAAGGTTTGGGATTGATGGCAGGGAAGCTGTGAAACTGAGGGGAGGTTTAGAGAAGAGGTTACAAATAACAGAAAGGGGAGTTCTTTTGTTGTTGTTTTTTAAGGTAAAAGGGTAGAAAGGGCGTCTGAAGTCTTGACTGAAACTAAATAGTTTGTCAGACCGGCTTAATGCCTCACTTCCCAGAAGAGCCTCCTGAGATTACCTGGACTGTGGACAGACATAACCTGTCAACACACAGCTGGGCTGATTGATGGAAGTGACAAAGACAGGTGTGTGTGTGTGTCGTGTTTTTCTGTGTATAAAAAGGTGTGCATGTGTGGGTTTCTATATGGCTTTGGGGTTACAGTATTGAATTGACCTCTTCCCTGAGGAGAGAATAGACTCAAGGGATCAGCAGTAGTAGAGCTGTACTCAGTGTGTCAGCTTAGACTGTCACTTAGATAGTGTACGTGTGTGTACGTGTGTGTGAAAGAGAAGAGTGAACATGTGAGACCAAAAGAAGAGTGTCAGAAAGTAGACCGAGTCCATTTTATTTGTTGTACATGACAAGTATACTCGTTTTGTCATTAGCTTCATCTGCATGTCATCTCTAACCTGCCTTTCACTACTCACATTAAAAGTTAAACACATCTTAACAGAAAATTAAACCTGCTCATTCCTGATTTAAAATACATTTCATCAAAGAAAAGTAGTCAACGGATATAAAAAGATATATTAGAAGTTGGGATTCTTTTTTTGTCATTTTAACCATCATTTATATAGAAGTTTGAAAGTTAACTGCAGAAGTCGTGAGAAACACAAATAGGAGCACGAGAATCGTACAACTTCAAATGTTGCACACTTGGAAACAATATTGACTTCCAGGCGGGAATAGTTTTAAAATACAATTATTTATTGCTTTTCATTCAGGAAATTTAAAAACACACGCACACCAAGGTAAACTGTCGGCTAGGGCCAATGAATGAAATGCTCAATAAACATTTAAACTAACATTTAACAAACTAAATTGAAAATGACCGCTTGCCCGTTAAACCGCAAAACACACTGCACAAGTACAATACTATTTGTAGCAGGCTACAAGTGGTTAATCTACGGAGGGTAATACAAACAGGTGAAGCGCCCGTTCCAAACATTTCTTAATTTAACGTGAACAACTCCGATAAAAGGCTAAAAATATGTACTACTGAGAGTCTGTTACTCTTACACGTTCAAAAATCTCTGTAACAAATATCACCACTTCTGCTCACCTAGAAACACATGCATATCACAGCAACGCATCTGTATACTGTCTGTGAGGTCTAATGAATGACTCCTCAAGTGCAGTCGGATTCTCTAAACAAGTAGTCTCTTCTCCTAAATCCTTCTGAATTCTCCTATCCACTATCCCTTAACCCCGTGACGTTTCACTCAGAGGTCAAGGAATAGACGATAGGGTTAGAATTTAGGAGCTGATTTTTGGATTATCCGACCGCAGCCCTCCTGTCCCCACCTGAGGTCCCGTGTCTCACCTGAAGGACCCCTTAGCTGCCCTTAGTGCCTGTGTGAGCTTTACTAATTGTATTTTTGAATTCGACACATGACATTTATCAGAAGATTACCGATTCATCAAATACATCAAAATACTTGAATGCCCCCCAAAAAATTACACATGTTAATGAACGTTTCCATGTCCATTATTATGCCCAACATTAAAGGAGGTCCCTATATTAACCATATTAATTTGTAAAGTAATGTTCTTGCAGCTCTAAGAAGCATCAGCATCGTTTAACTGATTATTTTTTGCTATTCCACATGTTTATGTTTTAGATGAACTCACACCACCTTGTTTCCAGATATCATGTATGCAGCTGTTTTCAGCAAAGACCTCTGATAAACTACTGTATGTTACTTGCTCAAACCTACAGCAGAAAAGCAAAGTTAGAGACAAGCGTATGAACATAGCAGGCACATTACTGGTTAAAAAACAAAATATCCAGATGTTATCCCCAGGACTTAGTGGAGAGCTTAAAGGGAGAGTGTACTATTATTCGTCAGGTGGCCAGATAGGTTGGTGTAGGCATTCACCATAACAACCTTTTAAGGTTATAATATGTCAGTGTGATTAGAGCCTGTTATGCTTCCCCCAAAATTGTAATAATGCCGTTTTTAAAGAACCTGGTTAAACTGTTGGCTCAGCTGTAGCCACGTCACCACCACCCGTTAAGCACAATATCATTACCAATAGAAATAGGGCCAGAAATGAAAGAAACAGAACAGAGGTTTCAATAAACTGGACTCATCAAAATATATTTTGGGGGATCTAATTTAAAAGAAATTGCATAAATGATTTGTTTCTGTGTTTCTTTTCAGGGTCTCCGTACTACTACAGTACATCACGGGGGGTGGGGCCTGCTGCCACTGCAACAGCCTCCGCCTACGACCGCCACTGACCCCACCAACTATGAGAAGAGGAGGTTGAAGAGAAGAGGAAGAGGAGGGACGAGAGGACGGATAGCACCAGCACTGCACAGTTCAATCCTGTCTACGCATGGACGACAATGAGAATGAAGATTTCAAATTTCTGACGTCAGTGAATTTAGAATTTTCTTTGATTGACACGTAAGCCAACAAACGCACTGCTGGGGAGCAAAACAGACATTCTTTATTGGTAATACATTACCATGAGGACACATGGATGGCAGTGTCAATAACTGATGGAGATAGGACTGGTCAGAAGCAAGTGAATCTCCCGTAAAATATCAAGGCTTGGCATCCCAATCATCTACAAATCCAAGGAGTCAGTGGACAAAGTGTGCAACATTGACTGAAACTGTATTGTGATCTTCCGGGTGAAATGTGATTTCAGGATGAGAATATTTCCAAGGAACTGATTTGAGTTGATTAGAGCAAAATCACTTTTTCAAAGAACAAGTCTTTTTAAGCCCCAACATCAATCAATCAATCAATCAATTTTCTATGCCATTTTATGGTGAAGTAAAGACAATCCAATTCACATAACTTGACCAAAATCACCCATATCATTATCATTCTAGTCTCTTTCCTGTACATTCAACACATTTCCTTTGGGATCACAATGCTTGATGGATGGGATACCATCATTCCCAATGGCAGTGTTCAGCTTCACAATTGAGTGTTCGCTAAGCACCGACCCTTCAGTTACTGTTGCAATACCTGTCAAGCTTTCCCTTCTGCAGAACGAAGTAGCCACAAAACAGCATTCCTAGCCTGCAGTCATATAGACTGAGCAAATATGTCCTTTAGATCAACCAATCATCACCTTGACCCTTCAGAGGATCTCTACAGCTCCATGCACACTGCTTCAACATGTGTAGAAATCCAAAGCTTGACAGGCTTCCCATGTCTAGTTGTGGTTGCTAAGCTCTGATTGGATATTTGCTGATTGGGGGTTAGCTTTAGCAAATGCTAAGTCCCAGGGGTTGTAGCCAGATCCCAATGTATCACAGAACATCTAACATCAGTACTTCCATTCAAACTTTCCCAGTAACTGACCAACAGGCCTTTCAGTAAAAGCACAGCCTAAAATCTGAGCCCTCTGCTGTAAAATAACAACTGTACATGTTCACATCAGACCAAAATCATACCCACCAGGGAGCGTTATTGTACAGGAAGGTGCTATCCTACCTCCCCGGCCAAGATTTAGTCCTGAACAAGAGCTATTTATAATGGGAGGAGACACAGAGTAATATATTAAGAAGTTTTCTGCGCTGCACTCCGTGATGAGAGTGAATGCCTGTAATGATTTATAATTATGTTTCACGCTGTTGTGCTAGAATAGTGATGATGATGATGACGATGATGATGATGCAGTGAAATGTGAAATCTTAATAACTTTCAATATGAAAAAAAGTATTGTTTATAAATATGAACCGATTGCGATTTTCTTGTTTATAGTTTGTTGCCTGGTATCAGTTGACACAGGTGCCATTGAATAAGATGCCATTTTTATCTGCTTCCTGATTATTGATGTGAAGAGACAGGAAGCAGTGGCACCCTCTCTCTCTCTCTCTCTCTCTCTCTCTCTCTCTCTCTCTCTCTCTCTCTCTCTCTCTCTCTCTCTCTCTCTCTCTCTCTCTCTTTCTATTTCTCTCTTTAAACTCCCCAAAGATGGGCCCCCACTAGTGGATCGGCTGACTAACTACAAAAGCACAAAGAGACTCAATCATCATTTAAAGGCGACATTTTACTTTTTTGACTTCCCTTTAGAACCATTAAGTAATTATTCGTCTTCTACTGCCCCTTTTGAGTGCTTGTCCTTGTGCTGTTTGACATCCTGAAATTGTTTCTATAAAAGCATTGCGTTCGTGAAAACACAAGTGAAACTTTTATTTTTGTTTGTCTCCTACATCAGTTCTGCGCTGTGACAATGTATGACACCAGGGTCGAGGCCTTACCCATCATGTACAGACAGAAGGACACAGTTGCCCAGCCCTCAGTGCTGATCTGATATCAGTGTATTATATGTGTGAGGGCCCGCAGTGTTGATCTTGTGAAAGGGCAATATCTTCCTAAACCTGTACGTAGCTTCCTGTCTCATTTATGTTCATTCAAACTTGTACAGCAATCAGTGATTAGGAAGATAAGTCACAATGTCAATAGCAGTTTCAACTTTTCACAATTTAGATTTTAGTGATAAAACTTTCTTTATGATAAAAAAAAACTAAGAGGTGTATGGTGTCGTTTTAGCCATTGTCTGCAAGTGTTTACATATCTTTTGTTTGTTTTGGTTCTGTGTGGCTGGCTGTAGCGCTTCATTGCTACTGTGTAGTTTTACTAGCCAACCGAGTGAAGGCACCAAATCTGCAGCGTGAGACATACAATTTAGCTAAATGAAGAATACCTATAAACACTGAACAAAGCTGTTAGTTTCTCCATCTATGTTGTTACTGGGTTTTGAACATTGTGATAGTGGATCCTTTTACATTTGTGAACCTTAAAAGTTGTGTATCCACAACTCTAAAGCAGATTCTTATGAAGGCTCGCCTGCTGTGCTGCCAGCGTGCATCGCAGCAGGAGCCTCTCCTTATTTCTGTTGTTCTCTCTTGATCTTTCTGAGGCATTATTGAACCTGAACCACACCAGCTGAAAACAAGGACAGTGCCTTTAGTTTTATATGTCAACTCCCCCCCGACTGACCACGCATCACTTAAACAAGATTTATGGTCCTGCAACTCCTTAAACAAAAGTCTGCGCACACATGGCCAATTTTATATAAAGCCTTTCACAAATAAATAACAGCCAGTTATTCAAACTCTGGTTACCAATAGTAACATTGCAGCTCTGCAAAGGAGATAGCCCTTATCCAGCACCATTTCAGTCAGAGATTCATAAAAATGGTCATGAAAGTCAACATTCCTGTAAGGAGGGTTAATGTATTTAGCCATACAACTGTTTCATTGATTCCCATGAAATTGTGTTAAACATTCATGTTCCCCAGAGGATGAACCCTTATTATCCTCTAGTGACACCAGCAGGTCCAGAGTTTTTAATAGTATCAGCTACATTATGGATTGGCACATTTTAAACAGAAACTCCTGATTCTAAGAAAATGTACTAATGTACTTTGGTTATGCACTCACTTAGTGCTACAACGAGGTTGGCTTGTGGTTTTCAGTGAAGGTTTTTCAATACTTTAGTTTATGCTTGTATGATGGGAAACATGGCATACAATTTACCTGTTAGAATTGTGTTTGTGAACATGTTTACATTAAAATCAATGCTTTCTGTCACTAAATACAGTCACAAAGCTGCTAGCATAGCTTTACACATTTGTTGTTTTAACCCAATAGCCGTCTGATATGATTTTCTTTCTAACATCAGTTACTAACAAGATTGTTTTACCATTCCCTGAGTTAATGTTCTGACAATCCTCCCATAACACATTTTCTAACCAAATCTCTGACTGAAATATACAGTTTTGAGAAATATTCAAGCAGGACCAAGATGTGTTGTAAACCGCCCCTCAGTAGGACCAACTGTGTTGA